CAGAGCTCACACAGATTCTTTAGGTATGTTGTGAGTGCGAATTGAGAGTACAGGCCGCCCGCAAAAAAAGGGATTCGAATTGGGCTCTTGCGTGCGGACAAGCTCATATTACGCCACTGGCTAAGAAAAAAGAAAGTCGAGTAGTGCCACGGACCGAGGCCCTCCTGTGTCCTTCCCTATTGTTCAATCTGCAGAGAGAGTGTGTCAGACGGCAGGCGCCTCACGGATTTCGCGCTTGGCCAGGAAGCAGGGTGAGGACGCACACGCGCCCGAACGGCTCGAGGAGCGTGGCGCGCCGCAGCTCCGCAGGCGAGTAATCAATCAATAGTTCATAATTGATTACTAATAATTAATAACCAATGGGCGAGGAGCGTGGCGCGCCGCAGCTCCGCAGGCGAGTAATCAATCAATAGTTCATAATTGATTACTAATAATTAATAACCAATGGGCGAGGAGCGTGGCGCGCCGCAGCTCCGCAGGCGAGTAATCAATCAATAGTTCATAATTGATTACTAATAATTAATAACCAATGGGCGAGGAGCGTGGCGCGCCGCAGCTCCGCAAACGAGTAATTAATCAATAACCCAGAATTGATTACTAATAATTAATAACCAATGGGCGAGGAGCGTGGCGCGCCGCAGCTCCGCAAGCGAGTAATTAATCAATAATTCATAATTGATTACTAATAATTAATAACCAATGGGCGAGGAGCGTGGCGCGCCGCAGCTCCGCAAGCGAGTAATTAATCAATAATTCATAATTGATTACTAATAATTAATAACCAATGGGCGAGGAGCGTGGCGCGCCGCAGCTCCGCAGGCGAGTAGCACGCGCCCTCGTCGTGCATCGCAGGCCACAAGTGGTCCGCGCCGCTGCTCCGGTTCCAGTACGGCATCGCTCCCCGCACCCAGAGCAGCAGGTCGCGCTGCCTGCAGCAAGTCGCGCACTTCTCGGTACCGTCATGCCACTCGGAAGGCGACAAGTGCGCAAATCGCGCTGCCACGCCAAGGCGCGCAGCGAGGCGAGGTCGGCCTTGCCCCCCTTGCGGTGGCAGCCTATGCGTGACTGGCTCTCTTAAATGGCACTCCTCCTCGGACGGCCTCGCCCCCCCGCTGAGCTGGTGGCAGCCGTCGCACAGCCAATGAGTCGGGTAGGGCCGGTTGAACTCTGAGACGAAGCAGCCGACGTAGACGGGCACGAAGAAGTAGTCTGCCTCTTCGGGCGCGTGCGTGCGGTGCGGCGAGGCGAGGAGCGCCTCGTGAAGCGCCACCTCTGCTCCGTACAGGTTTGAGGTCCACGCCGGCGCGTCCTGCTGCGCACCCTTTCCTTCGTACGTGCGCAAGGCACATGCATCGTGCACCAGCCGGCGGGCGAGGAGGAGCGAGTTGTACCGAGGCGGCACCTCGTACACGTACACGCGAGGAGAGCTCCTCCCGCCGGCTGCAGCGCCTCCGGGAGCAGAGTCGGCGGCAGTGCTGCCAGCTTCAGCCACGGCAGCAGCAGCCGCGGCAACGCCAGCAGCCGCGGCGCCGCCCTCGCCGCCACCCGACGGGACGGAGCAGTCCGCACCCGCCAGATCTCTCGCACAGACGCAGTACCCGTCGCGGCACTCCCCTCGGCCGGCGCCTGCAGGAAGGGTCCGAGAAAGGTCAGGGAAGATACCGGTGCCCGTCGCAGCGCTCGCCCCGGCCACTCGCCTCCGCACTGGTTCACGCAGAAGGGGCGTGTCGGCGTGCAGAGGCTGCCGCCGTTCGCGCCGTCGTAGCAGGCGCAGTGGCGCGGAGGCCGAGGCCCTCTGCCCGGCTCGGCGTCGCACCAGCCGGGCTGCCCTCCCCCTCCGCCGCTCCAAAAGGCCGCCTTTGGCCCGCGCACGAAGGAGCCCCAAGCGGGCGTCAGCCACGCCCGCTCCTTCTCGACGCCCTCGTACTGGCAGCCTCGCATCGGCCTCCGCGGGAAGGCCGACCCCTCGCCGCAGACGCAGCGGTTGACGTCCTCGTCGCAGTCGCCGGCGCAGCGAGAGAGCACGCGGCCTCCGTCGGGAGCGTTGCAAGGCGACGGGTCGCGAACATCACACGCGTCGCCAGCCCAGCCCGGAGCACAGAGGCAGTACGCGGCGCCGCCCGTCGAGTCCGCCACTCGGACGCAGGAGCCTCGGCCAGAGCAGTTGGAGGCGCAGCGGGCAAACGACAGCGCCAGCAGCGAGGCACGACTGCGCTCACGCCGGCGGGAGGCGCGGCGCGTGGCTGGCGGCGAGAGGAGCAGGCGCGTACGGGCCGCAAAGGCGACCAGCCGCGCATCATACTGGCCCACCTCGGCAGCATCATGCTGGCCCACCTCGGCAGCAGCGACCTCCACGGCTGCGGCCGCCTCTCCGCCACCACCGCCACGGGCATGAGCGGAATGCGCCGCGTGCGCCGGCGCGATACGCACGACGGTCGGCCCTTCGTCCTGGCGCATCAGCAACGCGAGGCCGAAGATCAGCAGCAGGAAAATGGAACAGCAATTCTGTGCTTGACTCATCAATGTGGCAAGTCACAGCAACACTCGGCACTCGCACAGCCGCCATGTTTGAAGAAAAGAATTATGAGCGGCAAGTCCAAAATGTTTTCTTGCTCGTTGGTTGTTTTCTTTCTTTCTTTCTTTCAGTCCAAAATCCTCGGAGTGTCACAAAAGTGGGCTCATCTGCCGGCTCCTCCGTCTCCGGATACGACTCCGAGACCCGCACGAGATTAAGTTTTAAGAACGAGGCGCTCTACCGGGCCTGCCGCGCGTACGGCTTACAGGTAGGCGAACAGTTCCTCGCTGCGGCGCAAGACGAGGGCGCCTTCGGCGAGTGGCTCGACGAGCTCCCGTTCGAGGTGGCTGGCCTGCGGCGACCGCCCGGCTGCTCAAGCACCACGCACGCGCTCTGGCGCGTGGGTCCTCTGGGGGGGCGCGGGGGCCCCCGGAGGCACCGTGCGCCGCGCAGCAGTGCGGAAACGCAAACGGGGCCCCGGCTCTATTAGTGTCTATTAGGATAAGCTAGGTTAATCAGAGGGCAGATTTGGAGGAGTACATACAGATAGACCCTCCAACCATCAGAAAACTCCAACCTGATCGGTCGTGCTGACCGCCGACAGATCACTCCAGACAGCAGACAGGCCGAGGTCTGCACGCGGCCGGCCGGGCGAGCTTGACACGATCCGACCCTGCGACCCTGACGCTGCTGCTCTAGCTATCAGACATGCGCTGCTGACTGCTGCCACAATGTGCGACCGGTGCTGACCCACTTGGCGGCCTTCCCGGTCAGTGGTGAGGCGCAGTTCAGACCTTGTGCAAGCCTACCCTCATTGGGCGCACCGGTCCGGACCGATGGCGCTCGGTGTGGAGCAAGCAAGACCCCCCCCCCCCCCATCGGCGTGCGCCCGACCTTTGAACGGCCGCCAGGAGCACCAAGAGGACTCCTCATGGCTGTGCCCAAGTGGGCTTCGACCGGCCTCGGCTGGGGGGGCGGGTTGTCCCGGCTGCGGACGCCTTCTGCAGCCCCCTGGGCGTGACTCAGCACCCAAAACTGCCCCTCGGCGGCATACAGCACTGCCAGCCAGCCTCTTTCTCCTCCTCAAGGGCTGTACTATAGGCCATATTGCGCCGCCTCCTACTGGCAGCCGGGCGGGCGCGCGCCGCGCGCGCCTCGGCGCGCGCACGGCTCGCAAAGTTCGAGCGAGTACTCGCCTCGCAAGGCGCGCACCGGCTGATCTGGCTGCTGCGCCGGCGGCCGCTGCGCTGGCCGCTGCTGCGCCGGCTGGCGAGCGGTACGGCCGCCGGCGGCCGCTGCACCCGCGCCTTCCCTCGCGGGCGCCGTCGCGCCGCGCGCGCCCAACTGTGCTGGCACACGGCACGCGTCGTCACTCAGCCGCGGAGAACAGGCGGTGCAGCGCGCGAAGCGCGCGCGATCTCGTACTTTTAAGGCTGGATCCGGCCATTCCAAGGGTATACCTTTGAGAATCCCCAGCGTCCCTCCCTCCTAGTCGCTAGTCACAATCTCAATTTCTCGACTCTCCAACACGAAGTGCTGCGATCGGGGTTGGCCCATTTCTTTTTCCTTTCTTTTTTTGGGCCCTGTGGGCACCCTAACAACACTGGGCACGGGACTGGCGCGCACTGGCACTAACACAGGCACACGGGAGCCGCCTAAGCGACTCCTGCGAGCTGCGAGGACGGTGAGACACTTAGCTCCGTGCATGCACTCGACCGCAGCCCCCGCCGCAGGCAAGCTCATTGACAATCTGCTCTCTCTGCGATGGCCGTTTGAAGAAAAGAATTCTGAGACGCCGAATGCGACAGCCCGCACACGCATCTACAAGATCCTGCTCGTGCAGGTGGGGACCTTGTCCTCCTCCGATCCCTCGTTTTTTTCTTTCTTTCTTTTTTCCGCACACGCATCACCATCACCTTCTGCGTCCCCCTCCGTAGCTGCCCGCCGTGCCGGGAACGCGCGTAAAAGAAGTCCGACGACGCTTACAGCCCTCGCACGCCGCCTCGTGCCCCGCGACTCGCGCCGCCCCTTTCGCAGCAACGCACGCTTTGCTCGCCTCGTCCCCGCTCTCGCCGCCCGCTGCCGCTGCTCTCGTTGATGGCGGCGCGAGCGCCCTGCTGGCATGTCGTCGGTGCCCTCGACACCGTCGTCGCCGCGATCCTCCTCGGCGTCACTCTCGGATGTGTCCTGGGAGTCAGACTGGCGGACCGGCGTCAAGAACATCTTTGACCGCGTCCTCGGCCGGAACTCGGTGTCCAGCAAGGAGTCTGCGCGCGTTGGCACCGAGCCGCTGCAGAGGGAGCTGAGCCGCCTCGCCGGGAAGCTCTCTCCGTCAGACGTCCTCTGCGAGCAGGACAAGCGCGCGCTCGCGCTGCAGCGGATGGTGGCCATCGCGTCGTGCCGGGCGCAGACACTGCAGGCCGACTTCCTCTCCACGCAGGAGGGCAACCAGTGGCGCAAGCGGCAGACGATGAACCTGCTCGCGCGGATTGGTCGGCTTGAGGAGGCGGCGCGCGCGGCAGAGGCGCAGCTCGAGGCGATGAGGGAGGAGAGCGCGACGCTGCGCAAGCTGATTGCCGACCAAGACGCAATCCGGCGGGCCAACCTCGCCCTCGACAGCCCTCGGGCGGTTCGCCCCAAGAAGGTCCTACACTTGCACAGCCGTGCAATGCCGACGCCGACCACGCCCGTCTCGCCGCGCCGCGTCGTCGACAGCACCTTTTCGGATGAGCAGCTGCGCTCGGCATCGTACTCCAACGTCGAGTCGCTTGGGACGCCCGGTGCGTATGGTGGCGCGCTGCCGGCCGAGGCGGCGGCGGGCGGCGGCGCGGCGGGCGGCGAGGGGCCGGCCGGCGCGAGCCTGCAGACGAGCGGGACGGTGTTGCGCGCGGGCATCCTGGCGATGCGCACCGCGGTCGCCGAGCTGACCGCGTGCGGCTCGGGCGGCGGCTTGCGGTGCGAGCTGCTCATCACTTGCTTTGAGAGCGGGCTGCTCCGGCTGCTGCAGGCGCTCGGCAGCGGCATGGCGCTCGCGGCGCAGAACGACGCCCGCAACGTCAAGAAGCTGCGCGCGCTGCTGCCCACCGTGGGGCACGCCGCCACGGTGCGCGAGCTGCTTAGCCACGAGATCCGCGCCGGCATGCACACGCCCTCGCCGCCGCCAAAGGGGGCTGTACTCGGCGGCTCGAGCGCCGCCATCGGCCTGACGTGGCTGCTCCGATCGCTGCACTTTGCGGCGCTGCTCATGAAGGCGCTCGGCGGCGACGGCGACGCGAAGCCGGCGACCGCGATGGGCGATGCCTACCGGCGCGCGCTGCAGCCCTACCACGGCTGGCTGATGCAGTCCGTCTTCCAGCGTGCAGCCAAATCAGCTCCCGCGTACGACGAGGTGACGAAACGGCTCTGCCCGGACGCGGCGGCGCGCGACGCTGCGGCCGCCGAGGACCTCTGCGCCTTCGCCGACTGCGGGCTGCAGCTAGTGGCCGCGCTCAACGCCACCCTCGCGGAGCTGCAGCTAACGGACTTGCGCAAGGTCTGACAAGCCTTGCCGCGTCTGCTATTGCACATATACATTGGCCATTGCACCTCCGCCTGTTTCGTGTTCCTGTTCTGTGCTGCCATTTCGTCCATCTCCATGTTGCATGCACCCACCTGTGTCTACCTTCTTGACTCGAAACTCGATTTGTAGATTAGCTCGTGCTTAATGGACGCACGTGCAGCACTCTCTATCTCCTAGACCCCAACGACTCTCTCGTAGTACAACCAAGGCGGTGAAGTGGCCCCTCCTCCCAATCTGAATCTCCTCTCAGCCCTTCCTATATCAGCAATCAGCTATCTCTATTTAGACTGACTAGTAAGACCGCCGCGGCCAGCGAGCGCGGCATCAGTGCGACGAGAACGGCTGGCTCTTTGCGCCCGCGTGCAGCTTCTGGTACGCCTCACCGGTGCGCTCGAGGAAATCGCACGTCTCGCGGACCGCCGCAATCAGGTCGCGGGCAAGCATCGGGCTCAGGTTGGCCTTGACGACCACGCGGAACATGGCCACGTCGGCGTCCGCGTCCGAGAAGAGCGGTGTCTTCTCCTCGGTGAGAGGGTGATTGAAATTCATGTGATAGCCTCCGACGTACCAGTGACGCTCCGAGAGGACATGCTGCAGGTCCGTCGAATCGTACGGCAAACCGAGCTCCTATAAGCAAGGATGACCGCTCAAGCGCCCGCCCGTGGTCACTCTAACTCGTTCAAGACAGGCCGACACCTTGTTGAACTGCGCGGCGACCACCGGGAGGCACCCCTTGTCGCCGGCGTCCAGCAGTGTGAAGAGCGGCCGGCCCGTCGGCGTATGCAGCATCTCGGCCAACCCTCTGCGGATCATGGCGGCGACCGCCATCTGAGAGGCGCACAGCTTGGTGTAGCCGTCGCGACCCAGCCGCAGGAACTTGTACATCTGCACGGCCGAGCCCGACGCGGGCCGCGAGAAGTTGAGGGTGTAGCTGTCCGCCTTGCCGCCGAGGTACGAGACCTACTCAACGAGGAGTCGCTTACCTGCGTTGAATTGATTGAGTAGACCCCTGTCCGAGGCGCGAGGCCGAGATTGCGATGTGCTCCGAGAGGTCGTCGCGGTCGCGCCAGAGCACCCATCCCGTGCCGCACATCGACACGCCAAACTTGTGGCCCGAGGCAGACATCGAGAGCACCGCTGGCACTCGAAAGTCGCAGAGCCCCACCTCTTCCTCCGGCTGGAAGGGCATGACGAAGCCGCCGCTCGCCGCGTCCACGTGAATGCCCACCTGCCACCCGTTCGCCCGGTTGAGCTCGCCCAGCACCTCGCCCACGCTCGCCACCGGGTCGTAGTGTCCAGAGTAGTGGTTGCCGAGGATGCAGACCACTCCGATGGTCTTGTCGTCCACCGCCGCACGCACGTCCTCAGGGCGAAGCACCATCTCGCCCACCTTGGGCGAGACAAAGTGGGGCTCTATGTCCATGTACTTGAACAGCTTCTCCCAGCAGGCCTGGTACATGGTCGAGATGACCAGGTTCGGGTACACGCTCCGCACCTCCGCCTCGCTCAGCCCGTGCCTGGCTGCGTACCACTTGCGCCACCGGAACTTCAGCGCCAGGCCGGCGAGGAGGCACGCCTCGGTCGACCCGACGGTGCACGCGCCGGCATGGCAGCCGTACTCGTCGAAGGAGGCGCTCTTGGGGAGATGCCACAGGTCGCCAAGCATGTTGAGCGCGTCGTTGTGCAGCTTGAACGAGCCCGGGTAGATGGTCTGATCGGCGATGTTGACCTTGAGACCGGAGAGCGCCACCTCCTCCTCCTCCCTCTCGGCGACCACGTTGACGTACGAGGCGGTGTTGAGCAGCGGCGAGAAGTCGAGCAGCTTGTAGTTATCCAGGTGCGTCTTTACATGCCGAGCGTCGCGGCCTGTTGCAGGGAAGCCCTCTCCGACGTCCTCGCCCGCCCACTCGATTGCAGAGTAGTCGGAGAGCAGGCCGCTGCTGCCGCCGCCGCGCCGGCCGCCGCGCAGCGCCATCAGACGGCCGCCGCCGCTCTTCAAGCGGTGCGGTGCGAGGCGCATGGCGTCTGACGCATTGAGGGCGACCAAGAGAAGTGTGATGATCCTCATCGGCAGTCGGCTGTCCGCGGCTAAATACCCTCAGCGGGGGATTGTGGAGAGGGCTGCCCCGAAATTTTCTGCCTTTAGCTAAAGCGCCGAGCGCCGAGTGCGCCGAGGCGAGCGCGATTCGTCGTTTGGGAGAGCCGGTCCGGGTGCGAACCCCCGCCCCCGGGGAGGGGAGGCGTAACCCAACGCCGCCGCCCTCGCCCGGGGAGTCGGGCACGGGATCGCCACCCGCGGAGTCAACGGGATCAGACAGAGAAGGCGAGACGGCGGCGAAGCCGCGGTCGAAGAAGTATAAGAGGGGAGGGCGGGCTCCGCAGCCGACGCCTGACCATCGGAAAGCGAACAGGAGGGAGGACCGGGAGGAGAGGGGAGCCCTTTCGGATGGGGGGGTGGGGAGATCGGGCGGAGGGGGCCTGAGTGGCGATGTCGGGTGAGAGTGTACGTCATGCTCGTGTCTGGTGTTTACTAGCTCCGAGTAGAGGGAGGGGGCGTTCCGCCGCTAGGGGACACCCAAAGCGCAGAACCAACCCTCGGAGAACCGTGTTTACTTTACGGCCCTTTCCCTGCGAACGCGCACCCCCCAGGGCTAGGTAGGGCTCTCTATAGCCCGTAACCCGATTCCCGATCATCCGGCCCGCTGGGTGCGCTTCTTAGCTCCCCAGCCCTGGATGTGAGGCTAATGACTGCACTCCAAGTGCTCCTGAGGGAGGGTGTAGAGGATGTAGAGTGTAGAGCGCTGTAGAGCTGTAGAGATGTAGAGCGCTCTGGAGCGCTGTAGAGCTGTAGAGCTCTACATCCGCCGCGTGACGAGGCGCCTGCGTTGTAGAGCGATGTAGAGCGCGATTTTGTTGTAGAGTTTGTTGTAGAGGCTCTACAGCCAAACCGCCGGGAAGGCAGTGACTCAAAGAGGTCGAGCCGCGCTAATGGGGTGTTTCCGAGCTTAGTGAAGCTCTGATGGACAGCCCTGACTATCCCTGACACACAGAGAGTCCCTCTGACGGCACACAACACCCTATAACTGCGTCATGACCAGCCTGCCATGTGTCGCCGGTGCCGCATTCGTCGCTGTGCTTCTTTAGCAGGCGGTGGACTGTCGGCTGCGAGGACGGTCGCATTTGCGCGAGGCGAGGCGAGCATTCAGACGCGTTGCATGCGCCATGACTCGCGCCAGCGCGTGCGGGAGCTCCTGGCTGAGCGTTGAGTCCAGGCGAGTTGCGCTGGCCACTATCGCTACGCCGAGCCGAGCTGACGCGCCGAGGCGCCGGCCAGTCGCAGCCGTGAGGCATGCCATAGCAGCAGAGGCACCTGCCACCCATTGGGCGGGCAGACAGAAGGCCAGGGCAGCACTGGCAAGTGCAACGCGCCTCATGTCGGAGAGCGACCGTGCCTCGTTCGCCGCTTATGATGTAGAGTTTGTTGTAGAGATTTCACGTTGTAGAGCGCCTCTACATCGCTCTACAACGCAGGCGCCTCGTCACGCGGCGGATGTAGAGCTCTACAGCTCTACAGCGCTCTCCAGCACTCTACATCTCTACAGCTCTACAGCGCTCTACACTCTACATCCTCTACACCCTCCCTCAGAAGTGCTCCAAGTGCTTCGTCGTCGTCCCATACCTGTACATGCACCTGTATACCTACCTACTCCCATCTTGACATCATGTTGTTGCCCTCTCCCTGCGTCTTTTCTCTTATCTCCATGGCGGCGGTGGCGGGCGACGCCGACAACATCAACAAGCAGGCGCGCAAGACGCGTACCAACTGGCTCAAGTCCCATGAGCGGGCCAACTGGGTCACGAAGTCACGAACAAGCTCAAGCAAACGGCCAACGGCTTCTTACGCACGGCCGCAGTGGGGGGCGCCCACTTGCCCACGCCGCCTAGACAAAAAAGACAACCCAAGGGAGGGATGGGAGGACGGCACGCCGCCCCGTCGCTATCGAACGCTTTCTCTTTCCAAACCCTGTGTCCCGCGTTCTACGTGCAGGCACACGGTTCGACGAAGTACGCTCCCAGTCCAATGCTGTCCGACTCGTTGTGCACCTGTGCCCTCCTCCTCGAGCAGCTGCACGCCTCCGGCACCGCGGAGCATGCGCAGTCCGCCGCTCAGCTGGCGAACCGCGTCTGGCAGCGGCGAGGCGACAGGCTCTTTGCGCTGCTCGAGCCGGCCTCCGAGGGCGACGCGGACAAGGTGCAGGCAGCGAGCCTGCGCTGTCTCAAGGCGATGGCGACGGCCAGCGACGACGTGGCGCGCGCCATCGTACAGCGGTCCATTGGCGGAGGCTCGAGCGTCGTCGCGCTGCTCAACGGGTGCGAGAAGCCGCGCCGCTCTCGCGAGGTGTGCGGTGCGCTCGTCGAGCTCGTCGCGGTGCTGCTGCGCGTGGGCCCGCGCGAGCTCCTCTCGGCGGAGCACGGCCGCCTCGCCTCCTCGCCGCTCCGCCTCGTCGAGTGGCTCCCTCGCGGCGCGAGGCTGCGCGGCCTGGCGGCGCTGCAGACGCACGTGCTCGGGAACGGCGCGCTGAGCTTCCGCCTCGTCGCGCCCGTCGCCAACCACGCGGCGCTGGCCAAGCTCGCGCCCCTCCTCTCTGCCGGCGGAGACCTTTGCAAGGTCACTGCCGCCTTCCTGCTCAAGCTGAGCGAGGTGCACGCTGCGGCGGAGCGGCAGCGGGAGGCGCACGGAGGAGGCGGAGGCGGAGGCGGAGGCGGAGGCGGAGGCGGAGGCGGGGCGGCCGCCTCTCGCGCGCTGCTGCCGCTGCTGCTCGCGCTGCAGCCGACCGTCGACCCGCAGCAGCAGCAGCTGGCCCTCGCCCTGCTCGCCGCGCTGCCTGGCCTGCGGGCCGCGTACTTGCAGGCGCGAGGCGACGCCGCCCTCGACCCGAAGCCGACTCGCCAGTGGGTGGTTGAGGCCGCCACCTTGTTGCCGCGTGGCGGGCTTGCGGCACAGACCTGAGTGAGGTGTGCCTCACTTCTCGCCGCTAGGTCGCCTTCCTGGTCCGCGTGGTTGGCTTGCCGCAGCTCCAGCGCTGCGGTGCCGCCAGCGAGGCCGCCGTGCAGCGGGCGCCTCCCCCGGGGCTCGGCCGCCAGTTCTGGAGCCGCGGGCTGCTGCATTCCCGCCAGCGCGAAGACCAGTCCGGGACATGTCTCGGACACGTCCCTCGGGCTTGTGCCCTGTAGGCTGCAGCACTCGAGCCTGCTCGTGCGCGCCACGACGGTCAACGCGCTCGTGGCTGTCCTCGCCTCGCTCGGCGGTGATGGCGGTGGCCGCGTTCCGACGGCGGAGGAGCAGCAGAGTCTTCGCTGGGCGCAGCTCGAGAAGCAGACGCTGAACAGTCAGTGAATGGCTCGAGAGATGAACGACGCATGATGAGTAGGCGCTTCCGGACATGCAGACGCTGCTGACGGCCCGATCGAAGCTGCTGACCGGTTGGCTGGTGGATCAATCGATCCTAATCCCCAGGGGCCCATCGATCGATAGGCCCGCTCCAAGCTTCAGGCCGCCTCCGCCAGCCGGCTGCTCAGCCTGATGCACGGCCGGTTGCTCCACGCGTTGGCGCTCTACCACACTCTGATGCCGGCCGTCTTCGCCGAGGGCAGGCTGCAGGCGAGGGCCCTCGTGCCCGGCCTCTTCACAGGTGCGCCCTCTTCACACTCCAGCTGTGATCAGGCGAGGGCCCTCGTGCCGGGCCTTCCCTCCGCCGCGCCGATCGTGCAGCAGTCTGCCTTGCGGCTGCTGTTGCCGCAGCAGGGAGGAGGAGGAGGCGGCGCTGAGCTTCCTCCCGCTGCAGAGCTGTGCGGGATCCTCCAGACGGGGGGGTCCAGACGCGGCCCTGCGAGTGCAAACCTCCGGAGGGCTGCGGGTAGGTGCGGCCTCCTCCAGATGACGCTGCACACGCAGCACCGCGAGACGCGCCGGCACGCCCGCGCGATCGCCGTCCATCTGCTCGCAGGCTGCGGCGCGGTGAGCGGGTGCAGCCACTCGCCCGAGGCGAGGGCTTGCTGTCTGGCGGGAGGGTGACGCAATTCACTCTGAATGAAGTGTCTGATCCTCCACTCTATAGGCGGAGGCGTCCATCTGGCTGGAGGGGCTCTCCCCCGCCACGGCGCCGCTGCTCGCCGCGCTGGCTGTGCAGGTCTCTGCGCTCACCTACTACGAGTCATCGCTAATCCGAAGCTTCGCCCCCAGCCCTACCTCTGGCCGTGCAGGTCTCTGCGGACCTCTACGAGTCACTCGACGCGGCAATCGCCGCCGACGGCGCCTATCCGCCGCCACGCGGCAGATTTCTTTGTTCTGCTCCCCTCATTTCTGAGTCGTGTTTCCAGGCGCCGCGCCACCCGTCGACTCACCTGACGGGCGGGCGTTGCGGCTCTCCCCGCTCGGCGTCGCCGCCGCCGCAGCGGCCGAGGAGCTCGCGGGCCGTCGACTAGTTGCGAGGTCTTCCCTCAGCCACCTCGCTCAGCAGTGGCTGGTCGTGGACAGGAGCTCGACCCGGGGCAAGGCCGGCTACCTCAAGGCCGGCGCGCGGAGCTCGCGGGCCGCTATCTCAGAGAGGTGCTCGCCTCCCTGCAGCGGCTGGCGGACGGCAGGGCGGTGACTGCAGCGGAGGGCGCGACGCCGCTCTCGCCCGGCGGCGGCGGCGCGCCAAACGGCTGCGGCGCGCCGCCGGACGGTCACGTCGCGACGAACGGCGTCTCTCGCCGTGGCGGCGCCGTCCCGCCGGAAGAAGGTCCCACTCTCACCGACTCGCAGGCTCGCGCCGTCGCCGCTCTCTGCCGCGGGCGGGACGGGCTCCCTCCCCCGCCCCCTGCCGCGTGCGCACCGCTGCTGCCGCAGTTGCTCGCTCTCGCCGAGGGAGGGGACGCCGCCTCCGCCTGGCTCGCCCTCCGCCTGCCGCTGACCGAGGAGTGCCTCCGCCCCACCGCCCGCTCCGGCGCCGCGCCAGTCTCCCGTCCCGCGTGGCTCGCCCAGTCTCCCGTCCAGGCGCTGCTGCACGCCGCCGCATCGCGCGAGGAGCCGCCGCCGCTCAGCGCGCCTCTGCTCGCCGCTCTCTCCGCCGCCCTCGCCGCCCCGGCTGCTGGGGGGCATCGGCACGGCGCGGCGGCGGCGGCGGAGGCGGCGATAGCGGAGGGCGCCGTGGCGGCACTCTGTTGCTTGCAGCAGCTCGACCGCCATTCGGGAGGGCGGCGAGGGCCATCGGCGGCGCAGGCGGCATCGCAGGACGACGCGGCCGCGCGCGCGAGCGCGCGGCTCGCGGCGCTGCGCGCTGCGACGGCGGGCGGCGCAAGGCGCGAGCTCGCCCCGCTCGTCGCGTGGCAGCTGGCGCGAGGGGTGCGGCCGTGCGAGGCGACGCGCCCTCTCCTCGACTCGCTGCTCCGCGCCGCAGACGCGGCGGAGCAGCCCGGCGGCAGAGGCGAGGAGACCGTCCCCGCCCCCCCTTCTTCCCAGCGGCCGCTGCTCCGCACGGCTCTGCTGCTGCAGCTGCCGTGTGGCGTGCCTGCAGACGCGCGCGCTTGCCTCCTCGCGCTCGGTGTGTCGCACCGGCGCGCGCAGACCGCCCTGCTGGAGGGTCTCTGGAGCGCCGGCGGCGGTCGCGCCTCCTCGTCCCTCGACGCGGCTCTCCAGCGCTGGCTCTACGCTGAGCCGGCCGCAGCGGCGCAGCTGGTGCACGCTGCGGTGCAGAGACCGTCGAGCTGTGAACGGCGCCTCTTCACGCGTCTAGCTACGAACAGGTGCACGCCGCGGCGGAGACGGGCGAGCTCGCCCTCGTGCGCCGTTTCGGCGCCGAGCCTCTAACACTGCACTTGCTCGGGGCTTGGAACCTTCTAGGAACCTTCTAGGAACCTTCTAGGCGCCGAGCCTCTAGCACTGCACTTGCTCGGGGCTTGCGTCGCCGCTGCCGTCGATGAGGCGCCTCTCGCGCGAGGCGAGTTTGATTGGTTGAGCGGGCCTGTCAGCCCGTCGTGATGAAAACAGGACCGCCTCGCGGGCGCGGGTCGACCGGCGCAGCGCACCCCTGCATGGCTCCCGCTGCTTTACTGCCACTTTCGCCTGGCGACCGGGGCGGGGTCGATGCTCCCTCTCCAGCGCAGCTCCTCCCCTCCTCTTGCCTGAAACCTAATGGTGATGACTCGTCGGTAGGTCGATGCTTCCTCTCCCGCGCAGCGCGCTGCCGCACTGCCTCCTTCGTATCGCCGAGCTGATCGAGCTCGAAGGCGCTGAGGAGGAGGATTCACCTGCCGCCGCCCCCGCCGCCGCTTCTGCGGCCGAGGCGGCGGTCGAGGTGTTTTGCACGCTGCTGCTCGCATCGCCGGGCTGGGGCGAGGGCGAGCTCAGCGGCGTGTTGCCTCCGCTCCGCCGCCGCATCCGCTCCTCGCCCGCCCCTCGTGGAGGCGCGGCGGGCGGTGCGGCGGCGGCGCGCGCCCTCTGCGCGGCGCTGGTGGCTTGCTCCGGCGTGGCAGCAGAGTTGGATCGCAGCGAGTTGGACGCGGACGTCGCCGCGGTGCTGGACACTCTGCGTGCCGCGCCGGCCGAGGCGCGGGCCGCGCTGTGCTCCGAGGCGGTGCTGGTCTTCTGCACCCTCTTGCACGCCCCTTCTCGCAGCCCTCTGCGACCCTTCCCCTGTGTAGGGCGCGCGGCTGGCCACCTCCTGGCACGGCGAGCACGCGCTCGGCAGACCGTCGCTCGAGTTGGTTGAGGCGGTGCGAGCTTTCGTCACGGCGGCGGAGGGGGCAGCCTTGCCCTGTCCTCGCCCCGCTATCCCCATGCAGCCTTCTCGGAAACTTACTCGGAACTTCCCCCCACGCAGGCCGACGCGCTGCGCCTCGCCGCCTCGCTGCTTCGTGGCCCGTGCGGCCCGCACATGGCCCCTCTCGCTCCAGCGCTGCGCAGGCTTCTCGAGCTGCGCCGGCCGCTGCGCGAGTCGATGCGCGCCCCAGACGCGCACGAGCTTCTCGACGTGCTCTCTGCGTTGGCCGCGCTGCAGCCGGCGCCGATGGGTGCGCCGATGGCCGTCGAGCTGCTCGTCGGCTGCGCGGCGGCTGTCTCGTCGGAAGGAGGTCTTAGGAGCACGAACTGAGGACACAGAGGAAGAGAGCTGTGCACAGGCCTCGTCGGAGGGTGGGCGGCGAAGCGCGTACTCGCTCTTCGGCGCGCATTGCGCGAACGGGGCGGCGCTGCCTCACCTCTCGCTCGAGCAGGCGGCCGGCGCCGCCACCTCCCCTGTGAAATCGCCAACCGCCAGCTAAGCGCGGATTGAGCAGGCTAAGGATTGAGCAGGCGGCCGAAGTCGCCGGCGGCGGCGCCGAGTCCCTCCTCGACCCTGCGAGGCTCGAGTCGCCGGGCTCGCTGAGAGCCGCACCTGTGAAGCGCGTCTGCGTACGACTGCTGCTTGCTTCACAGGCTCGAGTCGCTGGACTGGCTCCGCGCTAGCCACGCCAGAGAGCTGGTCCGCTCCTTCCCCGTCGACATGCTGCTGCCTGCCGAGCCGGCGGGCTGTGGCGGCGAGCCGCTTTCTGCCTCCGCTCCGCTGGAGGGCGGGGAGGCGGCGCGTGCGAGCACGCGGCGGAGGAGGCGCTGTGGGCTAGAGCGGCGTCTCTTCACGTGTCTGAGCCGTGAGCAGGTGGCGCGTGCCGACGCGGCGGAGGGGCCGCGGCCAGACGCCCTCGGTTCCCTGCTCGTCCTTCGCTGCCTGCTGCGGCACGGGCGGTGCGACGCGCCGCGCTGGATCTCCAAGGGAGCGGCCGGGCTGCTGGTCGTCGGCCTCTCCGCCGCATCGCCCTCCGCCCGCTCGCTCGCCTACGAGGCGGTCGCGGCGCTGATGGCTGTCTTGCGGAACGGTCCGAGCTTCCGGGAGCGGCCCTTGTCGTGGTCCTCCTGCTGCCGCTGTGGACAGCGTCTCTTGACGGCTCGTGCTGTGAGCAGGAGCGGCCTCACGTGGTCCGGCTGCTTCGCTCGCTGCAAGACGCCATCACAAAGCCCAACCTGAGGGTGCCCTCGCTGTGGTCTGTCTTTGTGGCGCACGGGCTGGCGATCCTCGCGCAGCCGCACCACCCGCAGTACAAGGCCCTCAACAACTACATCCTCACGCGCGCCTTCTTCGACCTCTCCGACGTCGCCCTCTTCTTCCGCTGCTCCACTCCTGAGTGCGAATTACGAACCACGAGCCATCGACTACAGGTGCCCATGTTCTTCCATTGCTTCCACTCTGGCTCGAGCACGCCGCGCGACGACCGGCTGTGGATGCTCGCCCTTCTCTCGCACGGGCTGCGGGCCGAGGAGGACGCGCGGCTCTGCGGCGGGAGGCACGTGCTCGAGCTCTTGCTCGGCCTCAGCGACTCGAGGGGCTCTGCGACTCGTGGGAACCTTCTCGGAACCTTCTCGGAACCTTCTCTAGGCTTCAGCGACTCGAGCCTCGCGGACCCGCCCGCGAGGAGGGCTTGCCTCGCCGTCCTGCTGCGCGCCAGCGGCACTGCGGACGGCGCCTCCGCCCTGCCCGGCAACGACACGCCTCGAGGGGCCGTCCGGGAAGGCTGTCCGACCCTTCTGCATAGGCGCGTCCGCCCTGCTCAGCAAGCACGGCATCCTGGCGTGGCTTCGGATGCAGCTCTGCGCCAGCCCGCTCTCCAGCCCGCTGCTCGAGCTCGTCGCACTCCTCGCCGCGCTGGTGCGGTCGCCTCCCTTCGCCTCCCTCGCCGCAGCGACACACGCCGAGGCGGGGCGCGCACTCTGCGATGCGATCGCTGCTGCCCGCGCTGTGCGGCGGGGGCGCGGCGATGCGGCGGCGGGCGGCGGCGACGGCGGCGACGACGACAGGGGGCGCGAGGCGGGCAGGGCAGCGGCGGCCGTGGCGGAGGCGCTCTCCTTGCTGGCTGAGGTGAGCTCGGCTCCGGCGTTGAACCTGCCTCTGGGCGACGCGGTTTGGCTGCCGGCCCGCGTCTCGGCCGGCCTGTGAACGGCGCCTCTTCACAGCTGCAGCGCTTGCGGGTAGGCGTGGCTGCTGGCTCGCCTCTCCGAAGGCGAGCACTCTACCTCGGCTGTATCTCGGCTGTATCTGCTACGTCTCGGCTGTACCTCGGCTATACCTCGTCGAAGGCGAGCACTCCCGCCTCGTGCCGCGCGCTGTGCGGGCGAGCGTCGCGCTCTCCTCCTCGCCGCCGCACCACAGCGAGATGGAGGAGGAGGCCGCGGCGTGGCGCTTCTTCTGCGAGAGCGTGCGACTCCTGTCTGAGGCGTGCCGCCAGCCCGGCGCGGCCACGCTCGCCGCCGCACTCGAGCGCGCGCGCGCCGCTGGCTCGCTCGTCGCGTGGCTGGAGAAGCGCCTCGCTGCGAGCGTGCCGCTGCGGCTCTCTGCGCCTGCAGCCGCGCTCGGCAGCCTGTGCGGGTTCTACGGCTTCCAGCTCGAGAGCGGGCGCGCCCTGCCCGTGCCCGCTCTGGCCTGCAGGGAGTGGCTTCGCGAGAGCCGGCACCTCACCCACCGCCTCAACCGCGCCCTGCTGCTGCTGTCCGCCCCCCGCCTCACACCTGCGGAGCGAGACGCCGCGGCCGAGCTGGTGGCGACTGCCGCCGGCAGCGTCCCCGGAGCCGCGCGGGGCGCGTGCGCGGAGGAGCTGCTCTCGCTCCTGCTCCGCGGCAACCACGTTGGCTCGTCCGGGCTGGGGGCGCTGGACGCGCTTCGCGCACTCTCGACTCATCAGTGCCCCGCGATGTTTCCCGGCGCGGGTGGGCGATAGAGTAGGTCATACTTTAGTCTTTACCTGTTTCCGGAGACTTTTTATCTCTGATGTAAGGCGACTTAGAATAAGGCCACAGGCTCTGGCTCCGCGGCGACGACATGCGAGAATCAACCCTCCCACCAGCACACGTGCCCCCGAGCGGCCCCCTCGACACCTCGCGGGTCGAGGGGGGCAGGGCACAGCACCGCACAGCACAGATACACGATAGAGACCCCCCCCCCCCCCCCCCTGTCGTGAGCGAGCCCTCCCCCCCCGCGGCGACCTCTTCGCCCCCTGTCTTCGCCCCCTGTCCAAGGAAGGGGCTGCGGCTGTCAACACCTGGAGAGCTGGCGGCCAGCCGGCCCGCACTCCCTCCCTCCTCCCCCTCCCCCCTCCCTTCTTCCGGGAGGGGGAGGGGCGGCCCCTCCTCCTCGCCACGGAGGCGCGGGGCGGGCCGCCGCCTCTGCCGCCTAGTTCTTGTGCCCGATGACCAGCTTCGTCAGCCCGGAGATCATCTCGTGCGTCTCCGCCTGCAGACCGCAAACCCCGCTCATCAGCTCCCTCTCTCGCCGCACCTCGGCCGCACCTCGGCCGCGCCTCGGCCACACCTCCGCTGAATCTCGGCCAGATCTCGGCTAGCTCTCCGCCTTGCCGCTCGCAAAGCCCGCCGCCCCCATCCGAGAGACGACCTCGCGCGGCGCCAGGCCGAGACCGTCCGCGTTGACCGTCACGTGCTGCAGTGCCCAGATGGCGCCGCCGAGCGGCCCGTCGAGCGAGTCGTCCACCATGAAGTCGTGCACCTGAGTCATTAGCTCATGATTAGTTCATGATTAGTTAACAGTCGTCCACCATGAAGTCGTGCACCTGAGTCGAAGGGACGGAGGCCACTCCAAACCGCTACACCGAGCGAGCTCCCCCCTCCCCCGTCAAGTCTGCTAGATCTCGGCTAGATCTCGGCTGGATCTCGGCTGGATCTAAGCTGGATCTAAGCTGGATCTCGGCTGGATCTCGGCTGGATCTCGGCTGGATCTCGGCTGGATCTCGAGCACCAGCAGCCGCCCGCCCGGCTTGAGCGCCTGCGTGACGGTACGGGGCGCGGCTCAGCACCAGCCGACACACCACCACCACCAGCCCGAGCCTGAGCTCTGGCGCGCCTTGTACGCGTTTGCGTAGAGCGCGCCGACGACGGGCTCCGGCACCGACCCCGAGATGTAAGACATGAGGACCTGTTAATTAATGAGGACCTATTAATTAATAGCTCCGGCACCGACCCCGAGATGTAGACATGAGGACCTGCGTCCGGTGGGTTGGGTTAGGGGTGAGTCGCACACGGCCACGCGGGGCGTGAGCCAGGAGGGCAAATCGCTCTCCCCGTCCGGCACGGGCCCTATCTCGGCGCGATCTCGGCGCGGTCTCGGCGCGGTCTCGGCGCGATCTCGGCGCGATCTCGGCGCGATCTCGGCGCGATCTCGGCGCGATCTCGGCGCGATCTCGGCGCGATCTCGGCGCGATCTCGGCGCGATCTCGGCGGGGTCTCGACCAAGTCGTACTCCCCGTCCGGCACGGGCCAGTCGGGGGACGTTGCGTCGAGCTCAGAGAAAGAGACTCGCTGCTGCACCTGCGGACGGGCGGGGAGGGGGCCGCCGGGAGGAGGTGAGAGAAGAGGTCGGAGAAGCGAAGGGAGGGTCGGGGGCTGCGTGCACGTCTGCAGGCTGCTCCGCGCGGATCGTGTTTCCCGTCGCGCAGACCTCGGGCAGCTCGAGGATCTGCGACGACAGCTGCGGGTGCTTGCCTATCCAAACCACACACACACACCGCCTCACCGCCTCACCGCCTCTCCGCCTCTCCGCCTCGCCTCAGCCAGGTCCTCAGCGAGGTCCTCAGCCAGGTCAGCGAGGAGGGCCGCTGCGGACCATCGCCCGTGAACAGACGTGCATGAACGCGCCGGTGCCGTCTCTCGGTCGTCTCTCGGCTGCCTCTCGGCTGCCTCTCGGCTGCCTCTCGGCTGCCTCTCGGCTGCCTCTCGGCTGCCTCTCGGCTGCCTCTCGGCTGCATCTCGGCTGCATCTCGCCCGTGAAGACGTACGAGAAGGCGCCAGATCCGCCGCCGACGTCGAGCATCTTTGAGGCTCCGTCGAGCGAGACGGAGCCGGCCATCCGCTTGAGCAGCGCCTTTGCGGTCGCGACGGAGCCGTTGTGCTGCGCGCGCGTGTACGTCGCCGCCACCTCCGGGTCGCTGAACCACGACGCGTACGACGGCGCCTCTCCCGTCTTCATGACGTCAGTCAGCGCGCCCATCCGGTGGTAGAACTGGCGCCCGATCTGCAGCTTGAGGTAGTCGCCGTAGAAGTGGCGCGAGCTGCTCACCAGGAAACGCGCCGCGTTCGGCGACAGGTCGTATGCCCCGTCGCGCGACCGGCGGAGCGCCTTTGACGCAACGAGCGCGGTGAGCAGCGTCTGGAGGCGCGGCGCGGTGACGCCGCTCGAGCGCTGCAGCGAGGGCAGGTCGACCGATCCTCCCGCCGCGGCGATGGCGTCGAAGATGCCGAGCTCCAGGCCGGCGAAGAGCGCCTGCGAAGCCATGAAGCCGTACGCGACGCCATCGACGTCGATGTCGTCCTCCATCTCGTCGTCAACCGGCGCGGTCGAGAGGGCGCGCGAGCGGCCGAGGCGCAGCGCCGGCGCCGCGGCGAAACGGGCCGACGCCGCGTGCAGGCCGCGCCGGGCGAGCATCGAGCCCAGTCGCAGCAGCATCTCGAGAGCGGAGCGAGCTGTGCCTCGCAGCCCGGTTTCTTTTTCAGTGGTAGCCGGTGGGTTGCCAGTCCGCGCCAGTCCGCGCCCTTGTCGTGCCAGTGTGCTGTGAGAGAGGCTTGTATCTTAAGAATTCTTTTTCAGTGAGCGGAATTGAACTCCCGAGGGTGGACTGCGGACAGGGTTTGCGATGTTTTTTGTATGTTTGGCCAAATTAAACAGACTGTGACGAAGGAAAGCAAAAAATTCTACCCTTATCACAAAAAGAAACCGCGGTACCGCCCAATTTTCGGCCGTCCCTTTCCTGCTGTACCCGCCCGCCACGCGTCTCCCGCCCCCTTTGTTCCTGTTTCAAGCCCTCAAGGAGGCCGACACCTCGTCTCCGTGCCACGATGCAGACCGGAAGCAGCAACGGTGGGGCGCGGCAAGGCATGCGAGGCAGTGGTGGCCGCCCCCTCCTGGCCCGCATTCTCATCTTCACCAGCGCGCTGCAGTTTCTGCTCCTCGCTGCCGGGTTTGCAGCCTCCGGCATTCTCGGCTTCTCCGATGCGGCCGGCCACCCCGTCTCTGCGAGCGCATGTTTACATGCCTTGGCGGTTGGCGCGGCTCTTTTGCTCATCGCCGCGTGCGGCTTCTATAGCTTCTGTGTCCGCGCGTGCCTGATGCTGTTTGCTCCCTTTCCCCTCATTCTTGCAGTGCTCGCCTTTGGTGTGACAGCTTACTGCTTCTTCACAGCCAGTGTGCTCCGGCTGATGGCTGCACCAAACATCCAACTCGCCGGCCTGCAGCTCCGCGTCGCCGCCACCGTCAAGAGCGGAGTTGAGATGTCGTGGTCCGCGTGCAGTGGCACGGTCGCACGAACGGGCGACGAGTTTGAGCTCTCGTGTTTAAATAGCGGCTACGCCAACTATGCCGATTTTGTGAACTCTCGATGCCTGCAAGCGGATGACTTTTCGCTCGACGCGGGATTCGCTGCGTGCTGCCGCAGAGAGACTTGGTGGCCCGTCGATGCGGCCGGCCTTGCCGCGCCGGTTCGGGATCTAAAGCTTGGCGACCGGGGGTCCGGGGACAGCTTCGACCCCTTGGCGGACCTAAACACTGCAACAGGAATCTTCTGTGCATGCACCAATCAGGTTCTCAACTTGTTCGACGCGAACGTCGACGCCATCAAGTGGATCGCCTTGGTGCTCGCCGTGTGGCATTCCCTGGCCTTCATGGCATGCTTCGCCCTCTGCTGCGCGGGGACGCGGCGCAGCACACGGCGGGGAAAGGTTTCGAGGGAGGAGGACATGGTCGCGGAATGATGATCAAGAACAGGTGTGATTCTTTTTGCTTGTGCTGCACTCATGCTGAAATTCTGCAAAAACCCGGCCGGCCCCTGCCCTGCCCCTACCTACCTACCTACCTACCTACCTACCCTTCTTAGGGAGGAGGAGTGCGCTGAGGGCGGTACATTATAGATCCTGTGGCATGAGACTGTCCCGCTCGCCATGCGCCCGCGGCTGTGGTGTGGGGCGAGTGAGTGAACGCTGAACGCACGAGAGTGTGGGGGGGGGGTGGAACGAGCCGTAACACCCAATCCCAAGCCTAACCCAGACTAACCCGAGACTAACCCGAGACTAACCCGGCGCTAACCCGCACTGGGGGGCATACGTTAGGATGGGTTAGTGTCGGGTTAGTGCCGGGTTAGCGTCGGGTTATGGTAACCCGTTCTAACCCCCGTGCTGACCCGTGCTGGGTTAGTGTGGCTTAACCCGGTGGAACCCACGGCTAACCCGCGCTTACTGATAGACTCACAGATGGGCGAAAAAAGAAAGAAAGAAAACAGACAACCCACGAGATGGGCGAGCCGCGCGTGTGTGTGCGGATTCTTTTTTCCTTCATTTCCTTCTCACAGTTGACGATGCACGCCATAACAATGGTCCTACTCTCCTTCGTGGCCTCCTTCGTGCCGTGCGCAGCATGGAAGTCGCCAGTCAAGCCGTGCGCCGACACTCGCCACGCCTTACAACTCAGATCCACTCGCCTCCCACCTCACCACCGCCGCCGCCGCCCCTCTCCCGCCGCAGGCTCCGGGCGTCGCGCGCGTCAGCTCCGTCCATGATGGTGCAGTGGTCGGCGGCGCCTGCGGACATCCTGTGGGCCGAAGCGGCTTGGGTCAACATGGGCTTGACGACCGGCGACCTCGGGATGGAGTGCATCTGGATTCCGAAGCAGTTTGTGCCGGATCAGAGCCGTGAGTGGTACTTCTGCAGCTCGGCAGCCGCCTACGACGCTGCCGTCACCTGCCTGGCGCTGCCCATGATAACAGCGGGCCGCAAGGTGTTCATCTGCTCGACGCCCATCGGAGTCGGGCCTGGGTACTCCGAGTGAACTCTCCGCTTGCAGAGGGGGCATAGTACGAGCGCGGTTCGGGACTGGTGGATGGTGGGAGGTGATGCATGCATATGCACATGCAACATCCGATGCTTCGATGGTGCATGCACCCAAAGTCCCTCGGGGACTCCGAGACGCCGGAAGGCCGCCCCCGCGCGCCGCGCCCTGTCGCGCTGGCTTCCCCGAGTCGCGCTTTTCCAGAGTACAAATTGTCATGTGTGTCCGCGCCGTTGCTTCTCTGGTATATGTGATGATCATATATGTGGGGAAAATGTGTGCTGGGGACGGCGGCACGCACAAACACCTCTGGAAACACCTGAATGCGGAATCAAACACCAAAACTCCAATAAATAATAATTGAAAGGACAAGAAATGTGGCCGGGGGGGGGGACTGCTGATGCGTGATGGGTTCTCTCTCCTATGCCGATGGAGGAGGATCAGGACTGACTACCAATGTCTCTGAGCACATGCATTCGACACGCGGCCTACGGCGGAGCTGAAGGCTCGCGCACGCGCGCAGACGCGCAGCTCCCGAGCTCTCGTCACGTGTGCCTGTTGTCGTTCCAGTCGACCCACGCCTCGCCGCGGAGCAGGGTCTCGAGCTCGGACTCGATCTCCTGCGGGGAGAGGGAGCGGAGGGGCGACGGCGGTGAAAGGAGGGAGGGGCGGCAGCATGGGCGGCGGCAGGGAGGCGGCAGGGAGGCGGCAGGTGGCGATTAGGCGGCGGCGACTGCGGGCAGCCGCAGCGGTCGGGCTGGCGGGCGGCGGGCGGCGGGCGGCGGGGAGGATGGCGCGCCTCGGGCTTGTAGATGCCGGTCTGCAGCAGGTTCTCCCAGAAGCCCTTCCACTCGTCGATGGTGATCTCAGAGTCGTTGTTGAGGTCAATCTCGTTGAACATGGCGTTCGTGTTGACCTTGTTGAAGGCCTTGAAGTGGTTGAGCGCCTCACTGGGAGGCGGAGGCGAGAGGAGGGAGCGGAGGTGAGTCGTGCTTGGCGGGAGCAGCAAGGGCGATCTCCGCGGCCGCAAGGAGCAGGGCCGCTGCGCACCCTCTCGTGATCTTCTTGTTCTGATCAGCGTCCATCTTCTCGAACATGTGACTCACCTTCTTCAGGATGGCATCGTTGGCCGGCGCGTACAGGTGGACCAGCGCAGGCGACCCGTTGTTTGTGGAGCGAGAGCTGTCCTGGAGAGCGCCGGCCGCGCCGGGTCAGAGAGAGACGGAGGGAGAGGAGGGCGTGTGTGTGCGGCAGGAGGCGGGAGCTGGGAGCGCGGCAGGAGGCGGGAGCTCGGAGCGCACCGCCATCGTCTGCTGGCAGGAAGCTGACAAGGCACAAGGAGAAGCGGGCGGCGCAAGGCGGACGTTACGGAAAGAATTATGTCGCCGCTATCGAACTTCGCGCCGAGAGGCGAGAGAAGCCGCGACTGGGAATAGCGCCGGCGCCGTCACAAAACGGGGCCGAGGAGAGCGATGTGAGGAGAGAGCGGGGTGGTGGTGGCGACGCTGCAGGAGAGTGACGAGAAGTGGCGGACGACCGCGAGGTGGCATGAAGGGTAGCAGTAAAGCGAAAAAAAATTCCTTACATCAGGCCAGCTGCGACGGACTGCTGCGGTCCGCTGCGACCGACTGACTGCGGTCCACTGCGGACTGACTGCGGTCCGCTGCGGTGCGATGTCGGAGGTAACCAGCAAGACGGCCGCGACACAGCTTGGCAGCCTGCTCAAGTCGCAGGTCGCATCGTGCTGCCGTGCTGCCGTGTACGACGAGCAGGTGAAGCCGCAGCTGCTGCCGGATCCCTGCACGCCTGGACCCGTGCGCGAGGCGCTGCACAGGGTGGTGGACGCGGCGTGGGCAAACAGCACCCGCGAGATCCTCCATCCGGGCGCCGCGCCGCCCGCGCCCTCCAACCGGTCGCCGGTGCTGTCGGAGGCTGCAGCGGTCCGCGAGGACGCGACTGGGTTTGAGGTGTGCCATGGCGACTGCCTCGGCGCGAGCTGCAGCGCGCCGAAGCTGCCTCGCTCGGCCGGCGCGTGTGCGGCGGCGGTCGGAGACGGCCTCCGGGCCGCGCGCGCTGCTCTGCTCTACCACTATGCTCCGTACGACAAGAGCGCGTGGGCGTGCCTGACGTCGCCGAGCTGGCTGCTGCTCGCAGTAGCGCTGGCGTGGCCGTGCACGCCGCTCCTTCGGGCAGCGCTGCTCGCCTCACTCCTCGCCTCGCTCGCCGCCGACGCACACTCGCCTTCCCAGCTCGTGATGCTCCGATGGTCGACCGCTGCTGATCAGAGCTAGTTGCTCGTCAGGCGGACGCCTTCCAGCTCACGATGTTCGTCGCGGCGCTGAAGGGCTCGCAGTGCGGCATGGCAGCACTCGAGCTCCTCCTCACCCTGCCTCCCGCCTACCTCGCCGCGGTGCTGCGAGACCGGCCCGCCGACGCGTTGCTCGGTGTCGGCAGCCAGACGGCGGCGTTGCTTTCCCTCGCCACTTGCCAGGCCCTCGCCTGGCTCGCGGCTCTGCGGCTGCTGCCGGCGGCAGCCGCGCTGACCCCCCTCTCCCCGCTCGGTCGCTAACCTCCCTGAACCGAGATCAGCCGAGATTGCCCGAGATGACCCGAGGTTTGGCCGAGGTCTCAGGTCGCGTGCTCGGCTTCCTCCTCACCCCAGACTTTTGGACCGGGCGGAGCGGCGGCGGCGGCGGCGGCGAGCTTGGCAGCGGCGACGACGACGGAGGCTGCGGCGAAGGCGAGGATGGCGGCGGAGGCGAGGTCAGTGGTGGCGACGGAGGCGACGGCGGCAGTGTTGGCGGCAGTGCCGTCGGCCGTTGCGGTGGCGGCGGCGGAGTTGGCAGCGGTGGCAGCGGCGGCGGGTTCGTCGCTGGCACGCCGGCGAGGGGGGCGGTGCTCTGCGGCTTGCGAGGAGGCGTGCTTGCTGCGTGCGGCTGGTTTGACACGAGTCTCTCTGACGGACTGGTCCCCGCTCGCCAGGCGTGATCGCTGCGGGCACGGCCCCGCCGTCGGCGAGAGGAGTCAGCCCCACTGGCTCCGCTTCCATCTCTGCCGCTGTCGGGCCCGGCGGAGGCTCGACCGCGTCGTGCGACGGCTTTGTGACTTCTCCCCTTCCGTGAACCTTCTCGGAACTCTCCTGCAGGCTTGCAGCTCCCGTCCGCCGCGACGAGTCCCACGCACAGCGCGAGCGGGCCCGCGCCTTTCCCCTCCCGACTCGGATGCCCTGCAGGAGCCATCCACGAGCCTACAGCCGCCTCTTGTAGGCCGGCCTCGCCCCGCGATTCGGAGACTCTGTCGGAGGTCCGTCCGTCGCCGATGCGTTCATCGCCGCCGCCGCCGCCGCCGCCGCCGCCGCCGCCGTCTGCTTGCTGGTGCCGTGGCGGCAGCGCCCCCCCCTCGCGCCCGTCTCGCCGCCTCTTTGCGCCCGGCTGCGAGGGCACCGAGGTGTCGATGCGCGCGGCGGGCGGCGGCGCGGGGGCGGGCTATGAGGCGGACGGGGAGTACGCCGCCGCCCGCAGCCGTCGCCAGTCGCGATCTTTCATCACTCCCGACGCGCCCGCGGCGCGGCTGCGGCTGCTGCTGCTGTACGACGCCCTCGTGCTGCTCTGCGTGTGCGGGGCGGCCTCCGCGTGCTTGGTCGTGATCTTTGCGACGCCAGCCGGCGACTCTGCGAGTGACAGCCGCGGCTGGCGCGCAGAGCTCACCCTCTTCCTCGCCCGGCAACTGCTCGGCCTGCTCGCCCTCCCGTGGGCTACGCTCTGCTAGACACTTCCTAGACACTTCCTAGACACTTCCTAGGCCTGCTCGCCCTCCCGTGGGCTACGCTCTGCTAGACACTTCCTAGACACTTCCTAGACACTTCCTAGGCCTGCTCGCCCTCCCGTGGGCGGTGCTCTGCTTGCCGCCCGCGCGCGAGCTGCTCACCGCGCGCTCGCCCACCGGGTACGACGCGGCGAGGAGCGTGCTGCGTCAAGACAGCTGTCTCGGACCCTTCTCGGACCCTTCCCGCAGGTACGACCGACGAGGCGCCTGCAGGCTGCTCGACCTCGACGGTCTCTCCGCCTTCGTCGGCCGGCTCCGGCCGATCCTCCGCTCGCGCCGCGTCCGCTCCGAGCTGTCCGCCTCCGACCTGGCGAGGCTCGACGGTGCCCTGCTCACTGCCGAGGGCTACTTGCGAGCTAACCCGCGCGCGGCCAAGGAGGAGACGGACAGGCGGAGAGACGCTGCCGACGCCCTCATCACTTCTGTCATCCGGCCGGGCCACCCGCTCCACCCGGCCCTCCTCCCCGAGGTGTGGACGGCGTCTCTTCACGCATGCAGCTGTGAACAGGCCACCCGCTCCACCCGGCCTTCTTCCCCGACCGCGCGCTGCTGCACCGCCACCAGGCGCGAGATACAGCATAGACAGCAGAGCCGAGATACCGCTGCACTGTGAAACTTCCGCGAACCTTTCAGGCGCGCGCCCTCGCGGCGGGGGAGCGGCCGGCGACGCGCGCCGCGCGGGCGGCCGCCAAGTATGGCGTCCTCTGGCAGCCCGACGCTTCGCAGCCGTCCTGCCGGCTGTGCTCGAAGCCGTTCACGCTGCTGCGGCGGCGGCACCACTGCCGCAGCTGCGGCCAGGTCGTGTGCGACAGCTGCTCGACCGGCCGCCGTCCCGTGCCGGGGTCGCCGACCCCGAAGCGGGTGTGCGACAACTGCGTCCGCGCGAGGAACTCCCTCAACGGCCCCGGCTTCTCGCCCGCGGCCACTGGGGCCAGACCGCAGAAGGACGGGTATATGGAGTTGGTGTGAGCTGCGTGCTGCTTTGCCGCTGCACCCAGCGATCAGCATCGACGGCGTGCGACGAGGATTCGAGGATAAGACGTGTGTACCGGTAGCTCCCTCTTTTTTGTGCTAGCCTGGGAGCTGGGGGGACGCGCTCCTGGTGATATGCCACTCCGCTCCTGCTCCGCTCTGTGACTCAGGTCTCATCAGCACACAGGTTCACAGCAGCCCCTACGCTCTCTCCCCCGACTCCTAGCTCCTACCAGCCGACCAGCCCGACTCTTCCCGCGTTGTGTTTTCCCGTCCGCCAAGGCACTTGGAGCACTCCAAGGGAACAAGTGCCACAGGGGTGACAAAACTCTTTTCCCAGTCTCGTGCCCAGTGTAAAGAAAGAAAGAAAGAAAGCGCAGCAACCAAGGAAGACCCCGCCATAAAAACGGTATGGCGGTGGAGTGCTCTCTACTGCCGCGGCGCCCCTGTCGGTTCGGAGGCGCCAGGCGGCCGCGCGCTTGGTGCCGACGTCGACCGGCTGCTCTCGCGGCGCCGAGACGTGCCGCTTTGGTCACGTCTCGCGCGCTGCGAGGTGCCTTTTGGCATGTGAGCGCTTGCCATAGACGCCAGGATGGTTGGCTTCCACACGCCTGCGGCCGCGGGCGAGCGGGCGGGCACGCATGGCTCGGCGACGCTCTGCGCGGGTCTCTTCGAGCTCGCAGCCCGCGACGAGCCAGCATGGCTCGTCGCTCGACGGCAGCCTGCTCAGTATGCTCTGGGCATTCTGTACAGCCTCGCCAAGCTGTGTGGGAGGGTCCGCAGGGCCAGGGCGGGCCGTCTAGGGCGCGACGGCGCGCTGAGTTGTACCATGACTATGAGCTCTCCGATCGGGTCGCCGGCAGCGGGCTTGCGCGGCGCGCCGCTCGACGGCAGGCTGCTCCCCACCCTTCCAAGAGTGTCTTCTACCTCGCTTCTCCTGCTGCAACCGTCTCCAGAGGGGCCGGCGCCGACCGGGCCTCGCTTCGCCAGCACTGCCTACGCCTACGACACACGCGTCGGCTCGCCGCCCGCGTCGCCCGCGGCGGGCCCGCGTGGCGCGCTGCTCGTCGGGAGCGTGCTCAGTAGGCTGTGCAGCGCAGCCTGACTCACTCAGAGCGCCGCTGATGCGGCGTCCGTGGGACCGCCGGCGGCGCTGCTGCCGCGCACGCTGCGCTGTGGGCGTCACCATCGTGTCCTCGCCGCGTCGCCGACGCCACTTGCGGCTCGCGGCTGCCCTGCCCTTCCCTGCCATCGCGCAAACAAACACACACACACACAAACACACACACATTAATGATCGGGTAATAATTATTAATTATTAATCATCGGGCGGCGGCGCGGCGCGGCGGCGGGCGGCGCGAGGCGGCGGCGCGGCGAGGCAGCGGGCGACGCAGGGCGGGGCGGCGCGGCGGCGGGTGGTATAATTACTTATTAATTAATTAATAATGAATTAATAAGCATCGGGCGGCGGCGCGGCGCGGCGGCGGGCGGCGCGGAGCGGGGCGGCGCGAACATCTGCTCTGATCAGGTCTCCGGCCTTTGAGGCAGGGCAATGGTCGCGCCGCCCTCGACTCAAGGGGCTGCCTTCCACCCGTAGCTGCTCAGGCCGGGGGAGGGGGGGAGACCTCCTGTTCCTCGCGGAACGGGAGCAGGCCCCTCCTTGCCCGGTCTGCGATGCAGGGCGGTGGTCGTGCCATCTTCGCTTCGTACACAACGACCACGCCGCAACCGTCGCCGGCGCGCGACACGTTCCCGTAGGCAGGACTGTCCTCGTCGAGAGTGTGTGCCGCCAAGGCGGGACGCACTCAGGGACAGTGCCGACGGGACGCGGCTCGAGAGACGACTCCCGCGAAGGCACACGGCTGGCATCCGTGGCGTGGGGCTCGTCTTCGAAAAGTCGGGCATGGCTCTACCCGCAACTTTCTCGCTAACACGCGCGCACTGCCGAGCCTGCGGCGGGCGCGCTGAGGCCGCACGTCTACCTCCGTCATAGTGCCACGACGTGCGGCCTAGAATTCGCACACGCGCCTCTGCTCGCATACACTCATACAATGAATTGTCATCACCCGTGAGTGCGAGATAGGGCTAGCCGCAGGCAGCTAGCCTCTGAGGAGGGCGTCCATAGACACCTCACTAGACCCCACACACGATCTCGTCCGTGCCTCGCCGGGCGGCGAGATTGCTAGAGGTGGAGCAAGCCTGCTCTAGCCTCGCATGTTACTTCCTGTCGTCTGTTGTGTCGTTGTGCCCTTGTTTGTACTCTTGGCACCGTGGAGTGCTGGGGGGGGGCGACAGGGAGGATGTGGCCTTGAGTTATGTGTACGCCAACTCAGGATGTGTGGCAGCCAGCTGGCTGTGTGTCTTGTGAGCCTGTTTGTGTCTGTGTGTCGCTCGTGCGTGCCGTCATCATCTGTCTAGCGTCCACCCATCCGCGTTGGTGTCCAGTCCGAGCCTGGCTGTTCTTCACACCTTTCTACCTACCTAACCTAGGGAGGGATGGGAGGACGGCACACCGCCACCACACAGGGATTTTAAGGAGAGGAGTGTGGTGGTGCTAGCCGTCGCCCACCCTTTGTGTAAAGAAAGAAAGAAAGAAAACAGACCAACCAAACGAGGGATGGGAGGACGAGGACAAGGTCCCCACCTGCACGAGCAGGATCTTGGAAGGACGATCAGGGACACAGGGGAACGGGAGTGGGGAGCGCATCGCGACACGGAGGGGGGCTGGGCAGGGTTCACCCACACGACAGGGTCCCAGGGATTCCTCTCTCGTATCTAAGCGCATCGCGAATTCTTTTTGCACGGCGGCGAGCCACTGAACGCCTTCTGAGCGCCGCCCAACACCACGCTATCTGCGTTCGGAGGGGCACCGGTGGCTAACGGCGGCGCAGAGATGTGCAAGCCCAATGCCGCCGGCTCCTGCTACGCCTTTGACGACGCAGCCTCCACGCCGACCGCTGCGGCCGATTCTGTGCAGCACAGGATAACGGAGATGGTGCCCTCGCGCGCTCTCCTCCCGCACCGCCATCGTCCCTCCCGCACCCGGCTCTCCTCCCGACTCACAAGCACTCGAGAGGTGACGCCCGCCGAAACCGCGGCGTCCTGCCCCGACCATCGCCAGGTCTTGACGATCAACAAGCCCTCGAAGTCGCACCCGATCGGGCTAGTGCTCACGTCGTCCGGCAGAGACCCGCCCATTGTCACAGAGATCGACACTGAGTCGCCCGCGCAGGGCACACTCAAGCTCGGAGACTGTGCGCCCTCCCCGACACAGCTCACTCGAACGCACACACACTCGAACGCGCCTCCACACCCCCTCACGCGGCCTCTTGCTGATGCTGCTAACCCGCCCGCTGCGTGCGCGCCGCGCTAGTGCTTTTGCGCTTCGGGCTTGCCCACCGCACCTCACCTTGCTCCCCGCACGACTCACCGCAGGCATCGTCTCTGTCAACGGGGACCCGGCCGAGGGCGCGCAGGGCACGAAGGCGCGTCTCATGTCCTAAAGCTCCTCGCGCCCGCGTCACACTGAGTGATGATCATCACCCATCAGGGCCTCCTCATGTCCTCCAAGAAGCTCCTCGTCGCGATCTGCCGCGACGAAGCTGCCGCCGCCGCCGGCGACGACGCCGCCGAAAGCCAGCTCGCTGCCGAGCTGGCGTTGGACGCGACGGCGCAGGTGAGACACGAGCTGGCTTGCCTCCGATAGAGATGCACTGTCCGATGACTGCTCGCTCTGGTCGGCGCAGGTCTTCATGTTTGACCACACCGAGGTGGACGAGGCGGACGAGGAGGTGGAGGGCGGGTCCTCGACCGGCATGGGGGCGCGCGTCATCACCGACCAGGCGCAGTCAGACTCATGAAGCAGACTCATTGAAGGGATAAATTAAGCAGTCGCGGTGATCACTGATGAGTGAAGAAGGGTCGTCCTCTCGCACCGACCCCAGGCGCAGCAGACGCTGCCGGAGCAGCGGCGGGCCTTCAAGGTGTACGACTCAAACCGCTCCTGGAGGCAGTGGGCGGCGGAGGTGCGGAGCTCCGCCAACGCGCGCCAGAGCGGAGGAGGCGGAGGCGGAGGCGGAGGCGGAGGAGGCGGCGGAGGAGGAGGCGGAGGAGGAGGAGGAGGGCACCATGTCACGCTGGCGCGCACGAGCAACGTCGACAAGGCGCGAGGGGACAAGGGCGCCGGGGCCTCGGTCCGCTTGAGCCAACGAGTAGACTGCAAAGGCATGGCCTCCCTCAGGCGCTGGGCAAGGCGGCGGGCCTCCACCCGGCGAGCAGGACGTCGTCGCTCTCGTCGATGTACTCGGAGCCGCCCGCGCCGCCCGCGCCGCTCGCGCCTTCCGAGATGGAGGCTGCCGAGAAGAAGCTCCGCAAGCTGACGTCCGAGGTGGGGCTGGTGGTAGTAAGCACTGACTGCACTCCCGCAAGCTGGCGTCCGTTGGGGCTCACACACGCGCACACGCACACACACGCGCCGCGCCGCGCGCACACTCTCTCACACACATACACACTCGCAGAAGTGACCACACCCTGACCTCTCACCATACATCAGCCACACAACACCCTGCACACAACACCCTGCCGACCCTCAGGTGAGGCAGATCGAGCGCGCGCTCTCCCTGCAGGCCAAGACGGAGCAAAAGGCGCGGCGGGCGGCCATAAACAGGGCCTTCTCCCTTCTCTTCCCCCCCCCCACCCCAGTCTGACCCTCTCTCTTCGCCCCCCAGGCGCGGGAGGCGTCCTTCACGTGGAGCCTCAACCCGAACCGCGAGAAGATCGAGACGCGCCTCCACCTGCAGTCGCTGGCGCACGCACTAGCAGCAGCAGCAGCAGCAGCAGTAGTCGTCGTAGCAGTAGCAGCAGCAGCAGCAGCAGTGCTAAAGACGCGCCTTCACCCGCAGTCGCCGGGGCCGTCTCTAGCGACTGCCTCGTACTTCCTCGTCTCTCAGGCTATCACGCGGATGGGCGACTTGCGCGAGGAGAAGGAGGAGCTCGAGGGCAGGCAGAGGGAGACGAGAGGGAGAGAATGCCGAGATGCAGCCGAGAGATAGCCGAGAGACAGCTGGAGAAAGGAGGTCGAGGCAAGGCAGCAGTGACCGCCCTCGCTGCACCGCAACCCGTGCAGCCCCGTTGCCTACTTGCCTTAGGCTCATCGCCGGGCTGCGGCGGCGCGTCGACGCGGCAGAGGCGGAGGCGGAGGCGGCCAAGGCCGAGCTGCAGGCGGTGAGGGAGGGCCTGGCGGGCGGGCTGGTGCATGAGAAGGGGCCGGACTCCGCCGAGGCGCTCGCCAAGGCGCTCGGGTACTGAGGGGTGGCGTCGGCTATTGGCATTATGTAGAGCTATACTCGAGTGTTCGTTGAGAAGGGGGGGGGGGGGGGCTGAAAGTAGGAGATTGTTGGAGCGAATCTCGGGCTGTTGGTGTTGCGTGTTGGGCGAGCGCGGCACATTTTTGCATTGGGCTTTTTCAAAATCGACCACGCTCCACCTCCAGCTCCACGCTCCAGGCTCTCCAGCCTCCACGGTGCCACCGACTGCGACTCGGTCGTCGGTGCCGAGCGGCCCGGGGCCGGCCAAGGGACCAAATTGGACGGGACCGCGATCGGTTTGTAGTAGTCTAACCGCCCAAATGATTTCTGGCCTCTCCTGTGGCCCCGCCGCAGGTCCACGTCCGACGCGGCGGCGCGGCGCTCCAAAATCCGCACTTTGCGAGCTTCTACGGGAGTTCACGCCCGGCCTCTCCGCCTCGTGAGGCACACACCATACTCCGTACGAGTCCTGGGGCCGTGCGTGGGCCTCTGGTCGCGGCGTCTGGAGCTTTGACCGTCGAACATCGGCCGTCAACTAAGCCCTCGAGCGAACGTGTCCGGAGAGTGAGGCTCTTGGACGGGTCCAGAAGCGGTGTGCAGTGGACCCAGTAAATCGACCCCCGGAGTACTCTCAGCTTGGCCCCCGCCACTTGCCACCCAGACGCGCCCCCGGACAGACGCAGGAGCGCCGACAGCGGCGATGGTGCTCCGCGACGACGCCCTCCCGACGAAGCCGGATCTGGCGGGCGACTGGCCGGCGGAGCCCGGCGCCCAAGATTATCCGAGATCGTGAGGTCGTGAGGAGCCTGGATTACCCGAGATCACGAGATACCCGCGATCGTGATGAGATGCGCCGAGAGTACCCGAACACACACACACACACACACACCGCTCACTCACGTGGCACTGAAACCCGCGGCCGAGCGCTCAGCAGCGCTCCGACCGCGATCCGATTGTGCCAGATTCGCGGCGCTCGATCCTCGGAACCAGCCGCTCGCGTGGCGGTCGCAGCACGGCGTGCAGCCGGGCACGGGCTCGCTTCAGTGGTGGCTGTGGGGCGAGGCGGGTACGCGCGGTGGCAGCTCTCAAGTCTCAACTCGTGTTGGCGACAAGTAGCGTTCGGCATTCTCTCGAGCTTCTCGAGGCGGATATCCTTTGGCCGCGTACCCGCGTTGGGTATAGCGAGGATTGATTGGTGAGACGCGATCCACGCAGGCGTGTTATCTGACACAAGAAGTGGTCGCCCTCGGCGCCTTGAAGCCCAATGTGCGAGAATAAGAGCGTTTGCCATACCGCCATACACAAGCTCATATTAAGTGAGAAGGCCGGGGGCAGCGCGGCCAAGCCCCCAGACCTAGAGCATGACCTAGAGAGCCGTGATAGACATCAGTCTAAATAAAAATAAATAAAAACGGACACCTCTACTCTAGGGGAGATACCACAGAGATATGGCATATGGCTTATGCGTTATGGGTAAAAAAAAAGGAACAGGTCCCCGCCCGTGCGATCTTTGTGCAGCTGAAACGTGCAGGGTTCTGTCCCAGTTGACATATCTCATATTCAGCAGCAGTCTAAATAAATAAACAAAGAGCTGGACAAATACCAAATTCCAAATCGCAAACATAGAAACCCAAACACAGGCGGCGACGAGCTCATAGGAGAAGGAGGCGGGCACAAGTTCCAAGGACGCACGAGCGAGCGAGACAGCAGCCATGACGATGATGATTCAGCGCGTGAACGCCAATTCGCCGGCACAGGCCGTGAAGAGCCGCGCACGCGGGCCGACGATTACGCAGCTGCGTGCCAAGCAGGCCGCTCTTGTGGCCGCATCCGAGCTCGCGGCTTCGAGTGATGCCGAGGCGAGTGTGGTAAGGCACTCGCCCGTTGACGAAGCCAAGCGGTGGGCAAGCGGCAAAGGCCGCAAAGTGGGCTTCGCAAAAGCACGTGCCACCTTCCGTGGCGGCGGCACGGGAATCGCGGCGACGGCGGCGAAGCACGACTCGCTCATCAAGAAGGCCCGCTGGCGCGGTACCGAGCAAATTGCCCGGGAGACTCCGGCGGGCTCTGTGTCCGTAGTGACGATGCCGCACCGCAAGGACTTAATAAATAGAGCAGTCAAGACTGTAGACTCCAGGAGAGATGGGCGACGCGCACGAACACAGAGCTCAGACCTCAGAGGCACAGTGCGCACCCCGCCCCGCTCACAGGGCGTGCATCACACAGGCGTGGACTGTGATCTGTGTGACTCCTCGGGTTTCTGGGACTCGACAGAGAGGTGTGCTAGTCGCTACAGTCGGACGGCTCCGGCACGTCTAAAAGAAAGAATAGAAAAATAAATACAACGGACATCCCAAGCTAGGGCTGGGTCGAGGACAGACACGTCCCCACCTTTGCAGAGGATTTTGCAAAAGCGAGGGGGGAGGGCGCATCGCCGCGCGGAGCGGGCTGGGCACAGGGCACAGGGGATCTCTCTCGCATAGGATATCCGCCGCCGGGTTTTCTTATCGGCGGCGGGCTTTGAGCGATGCGTGGCAAGGCGAGTCGCAAGGCCGAGGAGCGGGCGCCTACGGACACACCAAACAAGGGGTGGGAGAAGGACAGGGTCCCCACCTGCACGAGCAGGATCTTGTAAGGACGATCAGGGACACAGGGGAACGGGAGCGGGGAGCGCATCGCGACACGGAGGGGGGCTGGGCAGGGTTCACCCACACGACAGGGTCCCAGGGATTCCCCTCTCGAGAGAGATTTTTAGCAATACCAAACAACTCTAACACTCACACGTCATTTGGGGCCTGGAGCCCTGTTCACGCGCGCGCGAGACGTGCAGACAGGGTTGCCAGGTGAGAGCGAATGGCGCGGTTCACGCCTCGCACAAGAGAGAGAGAGATGCGCTCTGCATGGTGGGACATAAAAGAGAGCGAGTACTTGGGCGAGTAGGCCGTGCGGTCGACGCTGCCGCGCGCGACTTTGCGCGCGAGGCGGCGCAGCTTGAGAACGGCGGTGAGCGAGAAGCCGCCGCCGAACGTCTCGTGGAGCAAATAAATAAAAATAAATAAAACGGTCACCTCTACTGTGAGATGGGTAAAAAGGAACAGGTCCCCGCCCTTGCGATCTTTGTGCAGGGTTCTTTGTGGGTGTGGTCGGCGACTAGCCGGGGTCGCAAAGACCAAAGAGCAAAGTCGCAATAGAAATTCTCATGAAAACAAGTAGAAAATCGCGCAAAAAAGAAAAATCGCGGAAAAATAATAAACAAAAACGGACACCTCTCTACTGTGAGGTGGGTAAAAAGGAACAGATCCCCGCAATAAATAGAGCAGTCATGTCCAGGGAGAGATGGGCGACGCACACGAACACAGAGGGTCAGTGCGCACCCCGCCCCGAATAAAACGGGCACGCCAAACGAGGGGTGGGAGAGGGACAGGGTCCCCACCTGCACGAGCAGGATCTTGGAAGGACGATCAGGGACACAGGGGAACGGGAGCGGGGAGCGCATCGCGACACGGAGGGGGGCTGGGCAGGGTTCACCCACACGACAGGGTAATAAATAGAGCAGACATCTCCAGGAGAGTAAGTAAACGGACACCTCTAGTAAAGTTGTTATTGTCTTTTGATTTTTTTCACCTGAGGAACCGCGACGACTCTCGCGATGCCCACAAGCCGCGCTCGTCAGCCCTCCCTCCACGCGTCTCGCTCCCAGTCGTACGTCCACCGCACGTACCTCCCGCCCGCGCCGCTGCGACGCCCGCCAGAGCTTCCTCCGCCTCCTCCTCCGCTGCCGCCGCCTCCGCCGCTGCTGCCTGCGAAGCGCTCCACGGGGTCGAGACCGAGGGCGAGGGCCGCCTGCTCACGCGCGCGCGTGTGTGTTGGGGGTGAGACGAGGTGGGGGCGGGGGCCGGGGGGGGGGGGGGGAGCGAAGGGTGTTTGTTTGCGGCGGTGGCGGCGGCGGGAGAGGGGGGGCCCACCCAATCGTCCGTCGCCGAGCGGAGGAGGATGACTCCGAACGAGCCCACCCAGAGGCAGAGGAGCGCCCGCACCGCCGGCCACGAGGCGGGGAGGAGGGCGTGGGAGGCGGAGGCGGCGTCGGCGGCGGCGGCGAGGAGGAGGAGGGAGAGCGCGACGGCCGACACCTCGGAGACAAGCACCACCGGGTGCTTCGGCGCGCCCGACCTGCTCACAGCACGACATGTGGAGAGGTGTCGGACAGCACCACGCGTGCGTCCGGTACGCCCCAGACCGCAACGCGCGGCGAGACGAGCGCCACAGGTGCCGGAAGGCGCGGCGGCGGCGCGGCGGCCGTGTGCGGGCCTTGTGCTCGGCGGCAGCCTGCTCACAGCTGGAGGCGTGAAGAGGCGCCGCGGAGGGGCGGTGTGGTGCGGGGCCCTTGGCGGCCTCGACGAGCGAGGCGAGGTCGCGGCGGACGCCTTAATCACAGGGAAAGCTGTGTTGTGAGTCGCAGATGCTGAGCAAGCCTCACCGAGGCGAGTCGGGTGGCGGCGGCAGTGGCGGCGGTGTTGGGAGTGTTGGCTGTGAAAGCGGTACGACGATACACCGTCGCGGGTGGAGGCAAATACAGTATCGAGCTCTGCTGCCGCGTAGTCAAACGTCTCATTGTACGTCGCAGCGACCCGCTGCAGTCCGGAGGTCAGCTCTTGGTCGAGCGAGTCGCTCGTCTGCGCGAGGTCGCGGTCAAACTCGCGCTGAAGCGCGTCGAGCTCGGCACTTCCGGAGACGAGCATCGCGTCTAGCGTTCTCTCCGCCCTCACCAGGTGCTCGTGCTCCGGAAGGTCGGCAATGTTCCGACGCAGAGAGCCCGCCAGCGCGTCACCGACGGTCAGCGTGTCGTTTGCGGCGGAGGCGACGACGCGGGCCCTCGGTATGATCTGCACGCGGCGTGGCAGAACGAGCGAGAGGCCGAACAAAGCCGCGAAGGGGAACATCTGCTCCTGGCGTCGCAATCTGGTCGGCAAATCAAGGGCGTCCATCTGCAAAAAGAAGAAAAACAGTCGCACGTGTTGTTTTTTCTTTTTTCCGCACTACTGTGTATGCTCAAAAGCAAAGAGACAGCTCGGGTACGGCTAGCTAGGCCTAGGGTATGGCTATGGGTCGAGAGAGAGAGAGAGAGAGATTTTTGAAGACCAACAAGAAACACTCTCACCGTGATTTGGGCTCGGCAGCTTGTTTGTTGTTAGCCCTCAGCCGAAGCTGGGGCCGGTCCCGTAGCCGAGACCCCGAAGACGCGAGAGAGCCCCGCCGGCCGAATGGGTCGTGAGACCGCGGGTTCAGCGTCGTGCGCGTGCCCAGTTTTTTGTTCAACGCAGACTCCACTCATGAGTCATGTCTATCCATCATAAAGCCGTATCGAGACATCGATCATCGTCACGTCCCGCTCTCCGGACTCGCGCGGGGCGCCGGCCTCACAGCGTGGTGATCTCCTTCTCGCGCGCGCTGACCGCCTCGTCGAGGCTGCCCTCGTACTTTTTGAGCTTCTTGTCGACGGCGCCCTCCTTGTCCTTGGAAGCGTCCTCAGACAGGCCCGCCGCCTAGGGACGGGAAGGTGGAGCATGAGGACCCAGTCTCGGGAGCCGCACGGCAGTAAAGAGCAAGGCCTGGTGCACGTGGGTGCGGTGTGCGTGCGTGCGCGTGCGTGCGTGCGTTGTCCGTGCGTGTGTGTGAGTGTACTTCCGGTTTGTTGTGTTTGCATGTGTGTGTGTGCGTGTGTGTGTGTATGCTGCGCTGCGGCTACGCCACCTTGACGGCCTTCTTGATCTTGTCGATCGCGTCGCGCCGGACGTTGCGCAGCGCGGTCTTGCCGCCCTCTCCGATGCCCTTCGCTGTCTTGGCCAGCTCGACTCGCCGGTCCTTCGTCAGCTGCGGCACATTCAGCCGGATGACGGAGCCGTCGTTGGAGGGCGTCATCCCGATGTCGGACGCCATCAGCCCCTTCTCGACGTCGCCGAGCGCGGACTTGTCGTACACGTCCACCACCAGCTGCGTCGCCGTCGGACACGTCACCGAAGCCAGCTGCTTGAGCGGCGTCGGCGTGTCGTAGTAGTCGACGAGCACGCGGTCCAGCATGTCGGGCGTCGCGCGGCCGACCCGCAGCGTGGCGAGCTGCTCCTGCACCGAGGAGAGGCTCTTCTTCATCCGCTCCTCCGCGTCGCTCACCACCGCGTCCAGGTCCACCTCCGCCGCCCCGCCGCTCGCCGCCGGCGCCTCATCCACCTCGGCCGCAGCCGTGCCGCCGCCGCCGCCGCCGCCCTTGCCCTTCTTGGCCTTCTTGGCCATCATGACGACCGGCAGCGGAGCGTGGGCCGGCGCGGGCCGGTACGGCGACGCGGCGCGAGCGTGCGGAAGCTGCACCGCGGGCAGCCACGCGGTGCTGCAGAGAGCCGCCAAGACGGAGGAGAGAGCAGCCATCCGGTCTGATCTCGACCAAAAGAATAAGCACAAAAATCACAGGCTGCAACAGGTGAAAGAATTCTTTTTAGCATGGCGTCGCTTCTGAAATCGACCTTGCAACTTAGTGGCCGCAAGAGAGAGAAGAGAGAGAGTGCCGGCCGCAAACACTGACCGTCGCATGGCGTCCAGTGGCGCCTCGAGCGGGACCTCCTCCAGCCTCGCTCCGGAGGAGAAGGGCGCTGCCGAGCCCAGTCAGAGCAGATCTGCGAACGCGCACAGCACAGCCAGCATCATCTTTTCAGAGCCTTCGCACCGGCGACACGGTCGGCTGAACTTCCATTGGGTGCTGCGGCTGAATCAGCGCGCCCTGCCGGCGCTGCGCGTCCTCACAAACTGGAAGGTCGAGACGTACATTCAGGAGCGGAGAGCGGCCGGGTGCGTCTCGAGCCGCGACCGGCTCTACCGGTTCCTCGCCTCGCCGACGTCGTCCGGCAACGCGCTGATGTTTGCGCTGCTCATCCTCGCCGTCTCGTTCGCCTCCATCATCACCTTCGGCGTCGAGTCTCACCAGCACTCCAAGCAGGTCTCGTCGGCGCTCGAGCTGTACGGCGAGAATGCGACCGCCATCGAGGAGCACCTCGGCAGCCTCACGCCGCCGTACGAAGAGCCGCTCTTCGCCTGGAACTGCGTGCTGGCCGCCATGTTCACCGCCGAGCTCGCGCTGCGCCTCGCCACCTACCCCACCCCGCTGCGAGACTCGGAGTTGTGGGTCGATGCTCTCGCCCTGCTCCCGCTGATCCTCCGCATCGCCTGCGCCTCCACCCCCGAGGGGGACCTCTTCTACGAGTCCGCGCTAGAGATGTACCTGCCGGGCCAGTACTACCAGCCGGCGGGCGGCACCTTCCTCCACCTCAACGCAGCCTTCTCCTCGCTGCGACTGCTCAAGCTGACCAGGCACATGCTCGGCTGCCGCTAACGCTAACCCTAACCCACACCCTAACCCTAACCCGAACCCTAACCTCAAGCTGACCAGGCACATGCTCGGCTGCCGCTGCCGCTAACGCTAACCCTAACCCTAACCCTAACCCTAACCCTAACCTCAAGCTGACCAGGCACATGCTCGGCTGCCGCATCCTCGGCCAGACCCTGACCGAGTCCTTCACCGCCCTCCTCATCCCAACGTACTTCCTCTTCATGCTCGTCACACTCTTCGGCGACTTGTGCACGCACCTCCCTCCTCCCTACCCCGTCACCGTGAGCAAGGAAGCGCCCCCTCCCCCTCAGGCACGCTGCTGTTCGCGCTCGAGTACGCCCCGCACGCACTCTGCCGCCGGCGACCAGCAGCGGCCCATGTGAACCCCACTTCACAATGGATAGGTACGCCCCCTGCGCAGAGCGGGACTGATGAGACAGGACACAAGGAGACATGACTCATACATTCGACAGGTACGACCCCTACGCAGAGCGGGACGGCCCTCGCGTCCTCGACATCCCCACCGCCTGGTACCTCATCCTCGTCACGATGGCCACCGTCGGGTACGGAGACTTCTCGCCGCAGACCGCCGGCGGCAGGATCCTGATGGGGCGCGTGACGACCTCTCCAAGACCCCGTCCGGTGACGAGGGCTTGGATCCGAGCCACAACACGCACTCGATAGGTTCGTGATGATCTCCGGGCTGACGGTGATGGCGATGCCGCTCGCCATCGTCGGCAACAACTTTTGCCGCGCCTGGGAGGCGCGGGCTGCCCTCCTACTCCCCCTCCCTCCCCCCCCCTCCTACCCCCCCCCTCCCCCTCGAGTCGAGGAGGCCGCTGCTGCGTCACTGGCGAGTCATGCGTCGGCGCACTGAGTCGAGATGTAGGCGCGTGAGCTCGCCCTGATCGCCGAGGAGATCAAGCTGAGGCTGCTGTGGCGGGGGCGCAGCCTGCACGACGTGCTGCAGGCGTTTGAGGACTTTGACTCGGACCGCGACGGCAGCCGCACCTGCCCCGAGGTTTGGCTGGCCGCTGCCTTTTGAGCAGGCTGTACCTTTGGCTAGGCACTTGCTCGTACCCAGAGTTCAAGCAGGCGGTGACGGCGGGGATGGGAATCAACCTCGAGGGACGCAAGCTGCGCTCCGTCTGGCGGCAGTTCGACCACGACGAGTCCGACTCGATCCGGTGCCACGAGATGCTGCCGAGATGCTGCCGAGATGCTGCCGAGATGCTGCCGAGGTACAGCCGAGATGCGGCGGTCTGGCCTAGAGTCTGCGCTCTCTTGTCCGCCGTCCTCTCCTCTCCCGCCGGTGTCCTTCTGCAGCTACCACGAGTGAATGCTGTCCATGCATGCCAGGTACCACGAGTTTGCGCACGCCCTCTTCCCCGAGCTCGATCCGCAAGAGATGGCCGAGTCGATACAGCAGCAGCGGCAGCAGCAGCTTCGGCGGGAGGACTCGCAGCGGGAGGTGATGCAGGCGATACAGCAGCAGCAGCGGCGGCACCAGAAGGGAAGGCGTCCCCGCGGCGGCGGGAAGCGCAGGTGGCGCGAGTCAGACGTCTCCAACATGTACGAGTCAGCCAATCGTGAGGCGCGGGTTCGCCCGTACGCTGACGGAGCAGAGGGCCCTGGCGCCAGCGCCTTCAGCGCCGACGCCGACGCCTCGCCTTCCGCCGCCGCCGCCGCCCCGTCCTCACTCGCCGCGCCCGCCGCGGCCGCGGCCGCCTCCGCCGCCGCCTCCGCCGCCGCCGCCGTGCGATCCGTGTCCGCCGCGCTCATCGCGGGCAGCCCGGCCCGCGGGGTGCGCGGCTCTCTGACTGCTGTCTCTTTGACGGTGTGGACACCGCTCCCCGCGTAGGCAGCCCGTCGGCGGAGCCGCGCCCCGGCTCGCCGTCGCTCGCGCTGCCGCTCGACGCCGGAGAGGGGAGGGGGCGCGTGCAGCTGCGCGGGGAGGCTCCGCGCGTGCAGCAGTCTCCGAGCGGCTCGAGCTTGCGCGAGGTTGCGAAGAGCTTGGCCAGCGCCGCGGCCGACATTTCCGCGCGCCAGGACGAGCTGCACGGGTGAGATGCAGCCAAGATGCAGCCAAGATGCAGCGTATGGCCCGAGTCCTCCCCCTGAGAGTCTGGCCGAGAGCCGGTTGTGCGTGAGGCGAGGGGCGAACGAGGCGGGAGGACCTCTCCTGCACCCATAGGTCGGTGGAGCGGCTTATTGCGGCGCTCGGCGCTGCAGAAGCGGAGTCGGCGGGGCGAGGGTGCCTCCCGAGCTAGGCGCTGCTGGCGGTCAATTGTAAGGTACCGCAGGAGCCCCAGCGGTCATGCGGGGGCTCTCACATGCATGCGAGTGTATAGTAAGATTAGGCGCATATGTGGCGCAAGAATATGTGGCGCATCTAGGGCGGCACGTCTACGGGGTCTAGCGTGCAACTAATTACGTCGTACTGTGAAGCTCTGTTTTTCGTACCTCACATCTCACAACAACAACGAGTTTTATTGATATTGTGCGCGCACGTTGGGGCCAAATTGTGCGTTGGTTGTGCCATTCTGCCAACCCGTGAGGGGTGACGAAAACGAACAACGCACCAGGCGATCTGCCTGAGAACGCGGGGTCGAATCGTTGGAGGCACCTAGAGCAAAATTGAGCCCGCTCAGGCGTGAACAAAAAATATAAGGGTCGACCAGGTTTCGAACCGGGGGCCTCCCGCTCGCGGGACGGCACTCGGCGAAGAAACACTGGGCAGGACGGCGCCGGCGGGCGACCTTGAGCTATGTAGCGGGGGAATTAGACACCACACAGACACCAGAAGGACGTCATTAGTACGAACCCTCAGAAGGCCATCGCCATGGGCGCCGAGAGAACATTCGACATTCCCCCGAGAAGACAAAAAAGAAAAAAGAAAAAGAAAAAGCCTTCGCACCCCCTCCTCTTGCGCAGTGAGCCCCCCGCTATGTGTCGCCGTTATCGGGGCACGCTATCCTGTGCAATCAGGGCAAGCGGGGGCGGGGGGCAGTCCCTCTGGTCCGATACTGGTGTGGTTCTGTCTCTAGTCTCGGAGGGGGGCAAAAAGATAAGAATTGAATTGGGGTTTGGGGGGGGGGGGGGGCAAATTGTGCAATCTTGAGAGAATTGCACGCAAAACGTTTCTGGACCATTCTGGTTTACACATTACAGGAAGCGGACTGCTGCGTCGACCGTCGTTTGCGCATTGTGGCTCTACGGCTTAAATGACTAAAATCAAAGCCGTCTGGAGCCGTTGTGTGTGATCTCACAGTAGAGTTGTCCGTTTTTATTTATTTATTTATGTGTGTGCAACATGCAGATGTGCATGTGCATGTGCATGTGTGTGTCCGGCTGTATGTGCGTTACTTTTCTATTGGCTAGAACCATGGAGGACGAGCACGGCCTTGTGGTACCTACCGCCTGTGGCCTGTGGGCACGGCTCTCGGCGCACCCTGCGGGCGGCGGGCAGTCCGTACCCAGAGCCGTGATTGAAGACGGCGCTGGCCCAGACAGGCAATGCAAGGATGGCTAATGATTAGCCTCCGGCGCTAGTTGCGCGAGGCCCTGTCAGGCGGTGGCGTAGGATTAGTGGGTGCTGCTGGGGATAGCTCGGAGATGCACAGGCGCACCTGCTGCCGCCAGAGAGGAGGTCTACGGATGATGAAGGTCTCGTCGGCGTGGCGCCGCTACTCGTCGCTAAGTCCGCCTGCGGTGTGTGTCGCGGGCGATGGGCTTCCGTGTGGTCCTCCAGTGAGAAGCGGGCTGGAAGGCAATGCGTCGTGTCGCTTGCTGCCACAGACGGTGCCTGCATATGACGCATCCATGAGGAGCTGTGCCGCCACCGTCCTTGGCATCCGCATAGACGAGCAACACTCTCTCTAGACGAGCTCGCAGATTGGTCCGCGTCGGTGGGAAGCGATTGGCTACAGCACGCGGGACAGGGAGCGCGCAGATGGAGGGGCGCCGCACGGCCGGTCGGTGCTGGATGACAAGGAGTCGTCGGCCGGGACGCGTCGCTTCGAGTTTACGATTGTGGCAATACCCGGCAGAAATACCCGGCGGAAATACCCGGCGGAAAAGAAAGCCACCTAGATAAATCGACAACAAAACAAATCGCAACCTGCGGCGCCTCCTTGTTTGCAAGAAATTTCTGGGGTCTGCACCTTGTTGCTGGATGCAGTTGCTGAAGTGACAGGAGTAGCCGTCGTGCCCAAGTCCATGCGCTCGCCCTGCTCTCGCTGAAATTTTCCAGGTCGCTCTACGTCTTGAATGTGTCGAAGATATCGCGGCATCTCCGCCGCGGCGCTGCTGGCCGGCGTCTCCGTAGCGTCCGCAGCACCTGCCTTCGGAAGCAGCCAGGGCCTCGCAGGCGCCGAACCCATGGCGGCAGCAGCACAACCCCTCGGCAGCAGCAGCGTTGATTTCCCGCGGCTGGCTGCCAACCACTCAAAAGTGTTGAGTTACATCATCGGCATCGTCGGCGCTGGCGGCAAAGCCGAGAGCTTCCCTCTGACCACCGACCTGGCGACGCAAGGCACCGAGTTTATTGCCGAGGCTTTCGCTGCCATCGACTTGCTCGGCAGACTGAGCTGGCTGGAGTTTGCCAAACCCGACCATCACCTCCTCCGACTCGCGGCCAACCCGCATCTCCTCGCCATGCTGGTGCAAGTCGCGTGGTCCACCTTCTTTCCGGATCCGAGACTGGGCGTGTACAGCCGCGCGCTCTCCTTCCTCCTCCTCCTCCTCCAGCTATTCCGCAACCCGCAGTTCGACCCGAACGCGCCCCCGGTCGTGCCGCTGGCGATTGACCTCCGGGAGGAGGTGGAGCCTCTTGTGCAGCTCTCGCCAGAGACGGTCCCGTGTGGGCACGCCGGCACGCTGGTGCAGGCGTCGCACATCGCCGGCGGCGGCGGAGCCTTTTTCCGCGCGTACGGCGAGGTGATGCACTCGGGGCTCGTCCCTCGCCACGCTAGCCCCGGCGGGCAGGGCGACTGGCTGCCTGGTGAGGACCCGATCCAGGTGATCCAGTGGGGCCTCGGCCCGTTTGCGTGGCCAGCCTTCCGCAACATCTCGCCGTGGGGCAGCGAGCGGATGGGCGTCGGCGGCGCCGGCTGGGCTCCGGGAGAGCAGCCGGCGGAGGCGTACTCTGCGTACCGCTACTCTGACGCGGCGCTCGAGGCGCTAGTCTTCGAGGGGTGCGGCCAGCACCGCGTGGTGAAGGTTGACCGAACTCGGCCAGGCGCGACACTGCCGAGACATCTCCCTCGCCACCGCCACGCCTCCCAGCTCTCACTGTGGTCGCTGCTGCCGCGCGGAGCACGCAGCCGCCTCTCTCCCTGCCGCTCAGCTCTCGTTTTCTAGCGCCCTTGTGACCTCGCGCCGCTCTCCCTCAAGTCGGCGCCTCGCACCTCTGCCCCTCTGCCCGACCCCAGAGCTGCGCTAGCCCCGCAGGCAAAGGCCACGCGGCTCTACCCTAAGGAGAAGAAGGTGGTGTGCACCGACATCTTCAAAGAGAAAGAGTGCGTAACCTGTGTCGATATCTCTGTCGGACGATCGTATCTAACAAAAGCGCCCCCGCTGTTTCTCTCACACACACCCTCACTGCCGTTCAATACAGTCGTGAATGTACGTGACTGTCTCTGTGCGATTTCGGGCCCGGGGTTGTGCGTTTATGTGAACCCGGATCCTGAACCCTCTGCCGCTCCC